TTGGGCTAGTGGTTAAATCACTGGCTCATCAACTGTCCCAGGTAATGTTGGGCTAGTGGTTAAATCACTGGCTCATCAAGCTGTTCCAGGTAATGTTGGGCTAGTGGTTAAATCACTGGCTCATCAAGCTGTTCCAGGTAATGTTGGGCTAGTGGTTAAATCACTGGCTCATCAAGCTGTCCCAGGTAATGTTGGGCTAGTGGTTAAATCACTGGCTCATCAACTGTCCCAGGTAATGTTGGGCTAGTGGTTAAATCACTGGCTCATCAAGCTGTTCCAGGTAATGTTGGGCTAGTGGTTAAATCACTGGCTCATCAAGCTGTTCCAGGTAATGTTGGGCTAGTGGTTAAATCACTGGCTCATCAAGCTGTTCCAGGTAATGTTGGGCTAGTGGTTAAATCACTGGCTCATCAAGCTTTCCAGGTAATGTTGGGCTAGTGGTTAAATCACTGGCTCATCAAGCTGTTCCAGGTAATGTTGGGCTAGTGGTTAAATCACTGGCTCATCAAGCTGTTCCAGGTAATGTTGGGCTAGTGGTTAAATCACTGGCTCATCAAGCTGTCCCAGGTAATGTTGGGCTAGTGGTTAAATCACTGGCTCATCAAGCTGTCCCAGGTAATGTTGGGCTAGTGGTTAAATCACTGGCTCATCAAGCTGTTCCAGGTAATGTTGGGCTAGTGGTTAAATCACTGGCTCATCAACTGTTCCAGGTAATGTTGGGCTAGTGGTTAAATCACTGGCTCATCAAGCTGTTCCAGGTAATGTTGGGCTAGTGGTTAAATCACTGGCTCATCAAGCTGTTCCAGGTAATGTTGGGCTAGTGGTTAAATCACTGGCTCATCAAGCTGTTCCAGGTGATGTTTGGCTCATCAAGCTGTTCCAGGTGATGTTGGGCTAGTGGTTAAATCACTGGCTCATCAAGCTGTTCCAGGTAATGTTGGGCTAGTGGTTAAATCACTGGCTCATCAAGCTTTTCCAGGTAATGTTGGGCTAGTGGTTAAATCACTGGCTCATCAAGCCTGTTCCAGGTAATGTTGGGCTAGTGGTTAAATCACTGGCTCATCAAGCTTTTCCAGGTAATGTTGGGCTAGTGGTTAAATCACTGGCTCATCAAGCTGTCCCAGGTAATGTTGGGCTAGTGGTTAAATCACTGGCTCATCAAGCTGTCCCAGGTAATGTTGGGCTAGTGGTTAAATCACTGGCTCATCAAGCTGTTCCAGGTAATGTTGGGCTAGTGGTTAAATCACTGGCTCATCAACTGTTCCAGGTAATGTTGGGCTAGTGGTTAAATCACTGGCTCATCAAGCTGTTCCAGGTAATGTTGGGCTAGTGGTTAAATCACTGGCTCATCAAGCTGTTCCAGGTAATGTTGGGCTAGTGGTTAAATCACTGGCTCATCAAGCTGTTCCAGGTGATGTTTGGCTCATCAAGCTGTTCCAGGTGATGTTGGGCTAGTGGTTAAATCACTGGCTCATCAAGCTGTTCTAGGTAATGTTGGGCTAGTGGTTAAATCACAGGCTCATCAAGCTGTTCAGGTAATGTTGGGCTAGTGGTTAAATCACTGGCTCATCAAGCTGTTCTGTTCTACTAAACTTTCTTAGTACAACATCTGCCATAAACCTATGTTGAGTATGGGAGTTGTGTTTGTTTGTGCGCTAAGATCGCTGTGTGGACTGAGCACAGGGAATAAGTTTCACCTCTTTCAGAATTCCTTATTGAATTATTTCTAAAGGTCCAATTAGAATTTGGTGCACTAGTACAGTGGCCTAAGGTGCTGATGTTTGTTTGTTTGTTATCCCCCGCAACGCGTTTTATGGGGTATTAAATGGACTCGCCAGTGGCATCGCGTCCGCCTGTCCGTGCACATTTGTCTTTCCGGAGCAGAACTCTAAAACCGCTCAATATTTCTTCACCAAACTTGGCACATAGATAGATCTGGTGGTGTACTGGTGCCTTTTGGTAGTTTTGGAATTCTGAATAAAATATTTTTGGCGTTTCCATGGCAACAAGTTCGACTTAGCCTGAAATTGGTGTTATTACACTTTTCCGGAGCAGAACTCTAAAACCGCTCACTATTTCTTTACCAAACTTGGCACATAGATAGATCTGGTGGTGTACTGGTGCCTTTTGGTAGTTTTGGAATTTTCTGAATAAAATATTTTTGGCGTTTCCATGGCAACAAGTTCGACTTAGCCTGAAATTGGTGGTATTACACTTTTTCGGAGCTGAACTCTAAAACCGCTCACTATTTCTTCACCAAACTTGGCACATAGATTGGTCTGGTGGTGTACTGGTGCCTTTTGGTAGTTTTGGAATTCTGAATAAAATATTTTTGGCATTTCCATGGCAACACATTATTCTGGCTGTGTGATGTCTGTCAATACCTGAGTATGGACAAGACAGTTTAGTGGTCGACATTATGAACATCGGTCTACTCATATGGGATATGATGACATGGATCAACAGGTTGACCAGGTTGGCCAACTGATCCTGTTAGTCACAACAAGCATGGGTTGCCGAAGATATACCTGTCATATAGCGGTAATATTGCTGAGTGCGGCATTAAAACAACAAACCCAAAACATACTTAGAAATAGTTTATAAATCTGTATACTTGATAGCTGTACTATGCTTAGCAACAGATTCTGATTGGTTGGTGAGTCTCTCAAGAGGTAAATAAGTCTATAGGATAATCTGTATATCCTTGTTCAGATGGGGCCTGTTTGGCTGCTGGCTCAGTATTAATGAGGGTTTGTTAAGCCAAAGCTGTGACCACTTATTGTTACATTTCTTGGAAGATATAAACCCAAATATCCGTCAAGGAAAGGTCTGCATTAATTAGGTGTGTGACAATGGTGTGCTCATGCAGAAGCACGTGGGGAGTCTATCATTGCCAGGTTACGAGGGAGTGCTCAGTTGGCCTATGTAATGGAAGCACTGGATGACCTTCGTGAATGGTTGCTCTCTTGTTGTGGGGACAATAGATTACTGTCTGTGGTGATATATATAACAGTTCTTGTGCTCATGTAAAAATAATAAATAATTTTAATAGTCTGTTTAAAATACATAGTCTCCCTTTCTTAGAGATTGGTTTCTCAAAACCTTGACATTATATATCCTGGTCAGCAGAACTCTGTATATTCTCAGCTTCCAAGTTTGGGGTGAAACGGTATACCGCGGTATTAGTAGAACCGTGGTATTTTGCCTTTGGTTCGGTATACCGTAATGCAATCCAAAAATTCGATATTTTTGTTTTTTTTACTGACATTTCTATCTAGTCATAAAATGACAGTTTTGTTCATTCAAAGTAACAAAGCTTATGTATAATTTTTAACCATGTTAGGCCAGACCAAGTTTATTTCTTGTTTTACGGATCCGCCGATGGTATTTTTTTCAAGAATAAGAAAAAAATAAAAAATGAATTGTCCCAGCTCAAAAAATAAAATCCTCATGTTTTTATTGGCCCAAAATGTAAACTTACAAAAATAATGTTTTTGATTGTTTTTTGCCCTATATAAACTTCATAAATTCAAAAAAATAAAATACTTTTAGTATTTAAAAAGAAAATTATTTTGACTAGTGATTTTTATTATTTATTTTTTTCCCTCCTGCCTTTAGGTTTTCCGAGGACAAAAATCCATAAAACTAGAAATAAAATTGGTCTGGCCTTATTAGACAATGTAAGGTTTGGCTTTGTTGTCAGTTACCTGCATTATGATCATATCTAATATACCGAACCGAAATGGACCGAACAGAAAGCCTTGTACCACAATACGTACCGTACCATGTTGAGAGCATACCGTTTCACCCCTATTCCAAGCAGTGGTGGATCTGTGAGTTTGGTCCTGGAAGGTATTGATTTTCTACATCCATAATGATTCTAGGTGCAGAGTTTCTTTGGAGTAAGCAGAATTGATTACCCGTCTGTGCTGCCCATCTGACAAATTATATCATTACATGCCATATGTGCCACAATGACATGAAACCCGGGTGAGAATTGATCTTCAGTAACCCATGCTTGTCGTAAGAGGTGACTAATGGGATCGGGTGGTCAGGCTCGCTGACTTGGTTGACACATGTCATCGGTTCCCCATTGGGCAGATCGATGCTCATGGTGTTGATCACTGGATTGTCTGGTCCAGACTCGATTATTTACAGACTGCCGCCATATAGCTGGAATATTGCTGAGTTTGCAGTAAAACTAAACTCACTCACTCACCCACATGCCATATTTAGACCATTTGCAGTCTCTATGTACAGAAAGATACTCCAAGGACATTTCTTTTGAAATCCAGGTTAGAAGATTTAAAGAAAACATATTCAGGGAACAGATAAGGAATATGGAATTTGAGATAGAGCTCCTGCCTCTTCAATCAAACTTATAAGGAATCTCACCAGACTGTTGGTATCACATATGTCAACACAACATAACGGATTAAAACTGCTTGTATATTTAGTGAACAGTGTTGGTATATCTCATGTCAAAAGAAACAAGGGTGAGATTCTACTGATCATCTGTATACATGTAACAGTAATAACCAGTGTCTTAAATAAAAAGTATTCATCGAACAAGCATCAGTGCTAGAAAGAATAGTATTGTAATCAGATGTGACAGGCTGCTGATATTTGTTTTAGGGCAAAAGTTACTTTGATTGAATTTATTCAAATTATCTTAGTGTATGTGTGTCTGTTACCAAAAAAAAGGTCTGTGCTAACTAAAGTTATGCCTCCGAGTATTGGTAATGCATGTTCAATGAGATTATTTTGATCCAGTTAAGAAATATGTGCATTTGGGATAGATGTGTTATTTACCTCTGAAAGCCATTACACCCAATCATTTTGTCAATTTAGATAAATGTCTGTCTTCAGAGAGTCTGTTTGACTTGAGCACTGTTATAATTCCATTGACAGGAGAGTGAGATATGAATAAGTACCATAACCCAGACAGAGACAAGTGGAAGTCGTGTTGTGTGTGACATTCCTTATTTCCCCTCTTTCAGGTGTAGAGGAGCTGAGATAACAAGTGTTAAATCGTACTGTGACCATAGGACCCCCTTGTTGATCGCATGACAATGGGGGCATGAGACCGCGGCCGGGACTGTGGGCAGTGTTGATCAGACACACAGGGAAGACCGACAAGTTGTGTCAGCTCTCTCATGCAGCAGACGTCAGGATTGTAGAAGGAGCAGACGTCAGGGCTGTGACTAGAGCAGCAGACGGCGAGATTGGGACCAGTCAGCAAACAGCTTTACAACTCCGAGACGCGGGATTACAGGCGACATGGACATTAGGATCTGATTCTTGTACAGAGAAACTAGATATATTGTATGGATACTTGCACCGGAGTTGTTGTTTATCAGATTGTTTCAGCTTTAGTGGACAAGGCAGGAGACATTGTAGAAAGTGGGATTGTTTCCATGGAAGAAACTTAAAGCAGACTGATTTGCCTGTAGGTGTAGAGGAGATTGAGATACAGAGTCGGAATTCACAAACTGGTGAAAAGCTACTAACTAAAACTAGAAATCTCAAGTTTGTTCGAAAGTTCTTAAGTAAAGATCAGTCATTTCTTGTGTGTTCTGGAAGGAAGAGATATTGTGAAACTTTTAAGTCAAGGAGCTGTTTCCACTCATCGGCAGTAATGGCAAAATCCAAGTTCGAGTATGTGAAGCAGTTTGAGCAGGAGGACAAGTGTTTGCCTAACTGCTGGATTGTGATCAGGATAGACGGCAAGGGATTCCACAGGTGAGTTGGCACTTGTGGGTAAGTGAGTGAGTGAGTATGGTTTTACGCTGCTTTTAGCAATATTCCAGCAATATCACGGCGGGGTACACCAGAAATGGGCTTCACACATTATGCCCATGTGGGGAATCGAACCCGGGTCTAATGCGTGACGAGCCAACGCTTTAACCACTAGGCTACCCCACCGCCCTGGGTAAGTGGGTAAGTGAGTGAGTGAGTATGGTTTTACACCGCTTTCAGCAATATCACACCAGAAATGGGCTTCGCACATTGTACCCATGTGGGGAATTGAACACAGGTCTTTGGCGTGACGACCGGACGCTTTAACCACTAGGCTACCCCACCGCCCTGTGGGTGTTGATGGGCAGTGTTAGTGTGGGTGACTGGAGGTGGATGGGGGTATGGGGATCAGGCTTCATCAGAGATAGATGGGTTTGACGTGGGTCACACATGAATGTGAGGGGTAGTATTGAAATGGGTAGAATTATGGGTGTGAGTAGGGTTATGAATGGGAAGGGTTTACAGGGTTGGATAATTTTGTGGATTGTGATGTAATTATAAATTGGCTGGGATTGTGGTATGGGTGGGGCAGTGGTATGGGAGTTGTTATTTGTATTTGTGGAGTTTGGTTTGTATATGAGTGAGGGTTATTTTGGTGAGGTTGTGAAATAGGATGGGTTTTGGTGGGTAGGAGGGTTATTTTTGGGTGGGGTAGGAGGGGTGGGGTAGGAGGGTTATTTATTGGTGGGGTAGGAGGGTTATTTATTGGTGGGGTAGGAGGGTTATTTATTGGTTGGGGTAGGAGGGTTATTTTTTTTTGTGGGTAGGAGGGTTATTTTATTGGTAGGGTGAGGTGAGGTGAAATTGGGTTTAACGTCGTGCTTGAGAATATTTCGCTCATATGACGATGTGCATGAGTGTGTATATGTATGTGCGGCTGCTTGTACTAGCCCATACTTAAGCTGGTTTTATAGTGCTAGCCCACTGAGATACCATGCCGCAGTGAAGCATGAATACCCCACTCAGACACATTATACTGACTCCGAGCCAACCAGTCCTTGTTGTACCCATTAATGCAGAGCGCCAGGCAGGGACCAACAAGTACCATATTTTTGCGTCTTTTGGTGTGACGTGGTCGGGGATTGAACCCGCGACCTTCCGCTCTCTGGGCGGACACTCTAACCACTACACCACAGAGGCGGTCTTTGGTGGGGTAGTGAAATGGGAGAGGGTTTGGTATGGTTGTAGTTACATAGGCGGATTATTGTTGGGTTCTGGTAAGGTCTGTGTTATATAAACAGGTATGGGCTTGAGGTGAGTTTATATGTATGGGTGAGGTAATTAGGGAGGGGTTAGTGATATACCTGGAGTAGATGTTAGTGTTGCATCAGAATAAGATCATGGTTTCACCGGCTAATGTTGAAGTTGATATAAGTAGGTTTTGTGCAGATGTTTGGGGGGAAGCATGATCAGGACATATGGCCGCCACAGGGATTACTGAAACTGACGTCTCAGATGTAAGTCAGGAGCTCAGTAGCTGCTACTGATTGTGTGTGTGTCTGTCATGTCTGTGTGGTGGTATCAGTTACATGCTGGGCTGTAACGAACCCACTGTGAGGTGAATATGATACACATGACGATTACTTAGCACCAAATATGAATATTGGCAATACATTAACATGAAGAATGAGGGCAATTTTGTGGATATACAACTTCTCTATTCTGTACAGGCGACGTTTCAACATTGATTCTAATGTTGTTGTCAAGCAAGTGGCGACATTAGAATCTATGTTGAAAAGTCGCCTGTACAGAATATAGAAGTTGTTTATCCATAAAATTGTCCTCATTCTTCATCTCTTCAACTTCTAGGATGCCCATCAAAGAAGTAATACAGTAACATGTCAGCAGTCGATGCATTTTGTTAGTATATTCAGTTAAACAAGACCAAAATTTATTTGACTTTGTTTTACATAATTTATGACCAGTCACCACATTACTGTCAAATTAAATATATGAGTGTTGATTATTATACTGACTGGCTTAGATATATTCCATTTTCCATATTTCGCTTTGATAACTAACACTCAAATTCAAGTAAAAACACTCCATTTTGGTCCTTTAGCGAGATATCGCTGAATGGGGACAATGTATTCAGACAGCAATGGGGATTACCCATTCATCGATTTGGGTCCTTGACCATCTGTCCGTGACCCTTTCCTGATTCTTGTTAACTAGATATCTCATGAACTGTTGTACCCAATGTCTTCAAATTTGGTGACAGCCTACATTGGGGGATTACCCAGACACCAGTCGATTTGGGTGACCTTGACCTTATCTTCAAGGTCACCACGACACTTTGACCACTTTTCAAACTTATTTAATAAAAACGCGATATCTCATACAACATTGCGCCTAATGTTTTCAGTTATGTTGACAGCCTACATTGATGATTATGCAGACATCAATCATTTCAGGCAAAAAAGTAAAAAAAATAGTAAATATAGATATTCCTTTCTTTAGTGGTCGGGGACATTGCCATATCAGTGGCATACACTTGTTTAAAACAAAATCATAAATATTCGGTTCTAGTGGTCACGAATAGCGAGTACGCGAGTGAATTATGTGGTGTAGTTTGATCACCTAGTTAAACTGTTAAAGTGCTCATCATGCTGAAGACCAGGGCCTCCTTTCAAAAAAGCTCAGAGCCTAAGATCACCGCCACTTTTTTTTCAGCTGTAGCATTCGAATCTCCTATACTGTAACATAGGGGTTCACTACTTAATGCTACGAGAAAAGTTACGAGATCTTAGGCTTACGAGAGCTTTGAGAAACGGGGCTTGTGAAGCCCATTTCTGGTGTTCCCTATCATGACATTGCTGGAATATTGCTGAAAGTTGTGTAAAACCTTATACAAGATGATAGAAGTTTCCTTTACCAGTTTCCTACCAAAGTTATGCTCACATTTAAACAGCTGTACAATGTCACTGTGTCAAGGCTAATACTAGGGCAGTCTATTGGAATGAATGAAAGACGTGCATGCTTGTTCCCTATTGATCTTCTAAACATACATTATATATAAACTGAATGACTGCATGTGGATAACATGTTAATCATGTGAATAGCTACAAGTTCATTGTAACATATTTACTATGTGTACAACATAGAATACTACAGTAGCGACATACTTTACACCTGGTGATAAGTCGCTCTAGATGCGTGTACATGGGGTTACTACTGGCATGACTTGTACATGTCTTCCCTAAGTGTAATGCTTTATATAAATTCCAGTTCATAACATAAAGACTGCTTGGGTTATAGAATGAAGAGATCAATGACTGATGTATACAGGTTACAGTGTGTGGATTACAGACAACATACATCAATACCTTAAGATGCCCATTCTGATATCTTATAAGAGGGTTTTCCCATAGGTGGTGGTGGTTGAGTTAAGGGGTGGGGGGTTGTGGGTGAGGAGTGAGTGAGTTTAGTTTTTCGTCGCTTTTAGCAATATTCCAGCAATATCACGGCGGGGACACTAGAAATAAGGCTTCACACATTGTACCCATGTGGGGAATCAAACCCAGGTCTTCGGTGTGGCAAGCAAACACTTTAACCACTAGGCTTCCCTCTGCCCTTTTATCAACATGATCAGGTGATCAAACTACACCACATAATTCACTCGCGTATACGCTATTTGTGACCACTGGAACCGAATATTTATGATTTTGTTTTAAACAAGTGTTTGCCACTGATATTGCAATGTCCCCCACCACTAAAGAATGGAATATCTATATTTACTATTTTTTTAATTTTTTAATTTTTTGGTCAGTGAGGAGTAAAGAACAAAGAGATCCATTGGGGCAGGGAAGGGAGACAGAGTAATTATGGTCATTATGGGGTTACTTACTTGATCTTTCAACTGTCAACTAAAAAATTAACACATTTCAATTTTGAAGTTGTCATTGAGGTAATCTAGAGATAGGAAAAAGATTAATAACTTTGAGAAAATTTATTCAGAAAATTGTCACATTTTTATTAGTTCTTTTTATCTTTTCATGAGTAAGTTAAACAAATGTTAAATGCTGCTTCATTATTTTTATCTTTTATTGTTTTCAGTATTTGTTGAAAACAATTGTGGACAATTCAAAATGCATTGTTATCTCATAACAAGTGAACTGATAACTAGGAGTGCTTTAATCATTGAACACTCTTAAATGATTTGATTGTAAATTGAATTGATTATATTGTAAATAGCTATTTGAACTGTGGTCTTGGACCATGTGATAATGAAGTCATGGTTTAAGTAAGAATTCATTATGGTAATATTCATTAGATGTCATAAAAGCAATTTAAACCAAGCAGTCATGTGTGAAATGTTATGGAAATATGTTAAAAACCCACGGAAACAGTTCAGCAATAAACAAACATTCCACAGCTGTTAGTTTTAGAAAAGTCATTCATCTGTAACGACAAATTTGCTGATGCAGCATTAAGCAATATTTACTCACTCACTCTGTAACAACAATGAGAAATAAGAGAAGAAATATACTGAACTGACATAAGTACTTAGTTCAACAGGATCACATTAGACCAATATCGCAAGATAGCAATATATCTTACTCAACAGAACCTGACAGATTGGTATGACAGATTGACTATAGCAATATGAAGGAACCAGGTGACCCTTAACTTCTTTTTTGTAGTATATACATATATACAGCATGTCGTCGTTTGAAGTAGTATTGTTCAAGTTTTTGTTGGCATGACCTTAAATCCGCAAAGCTGATCAATATTCATAGAGGTAAACAAGGTAAACAATATGACAGGTGATATACCGAAGTTCGCGTACAGCATTGACGTTTTTCACCATGAAAAATTTCATGTTTAGGAAAGTCTGGCAATATTGCAGGTAAGACTGAAATATGATCTCTGATTAAGGAAGCCAGTGTTTGAGTCAGTATTCTGAAGTGGTAGAGCAGATCTAGTGCAAGACATGGGTCAAATCTAGTCTTGATCTGGCCTGAAATTAGCGGGGATGTTTTGTCACCGTGGGTTAGAGGAGAGATTATTCAAACATTGAAGTTTGTAGGTTTCTCATAAATATAAAGTGGCGTGTTTGGCGTAAGGCCAGACTTGGACCGCTGCTCGAGTTACAAGCTGATAGCAGAGTATTGACGGGGACACTGAAGCGTTTCAGGAGGAGGTTACTATCAGTCGTACTGCCCTGCTATTGGGTAATACCATTCGTATCACTGCTACGATAAAATCCATGTGTGTGGATTTGAAAACACTGTTGATGAGATTAGTGGTTGGCTGTAATGAGTTATTGAAAGCCTGTATTTAGACTATGACTACCAATGTGATTAAAGTACACTGGTACCATAGTCAGAATTCCTTTGATTTGAGTATCAAATGTTTGAATAGTGATTTTGTTTGAAGTGTATTGATTTGAGTTTGGCTTCGGTTTTGACTGATGCTTGGTTTCTGGTTATATTTGGTGTAGGTACCTTGACTGGGCACAATACACAAAATAGTAGTTCTGTTATGTCCATGGTAAATACGATTTTACTTGGCGTTATTACTGTGTTATGTGTAAGTTACTATAACGCGGGTGTATATTAACGCGGGGAGTCATCCATGGACCCCAAGATCCGTGTCATGGCAAGGGATGACTGTATTGAATAATGCATCAACTGCTGACTTTTATGTTACCCAATATACGTATTCGTTACCAAATATTCATATTTGTTTCTCAATATTCATATTCGTTACCAGGCGGTGGGGGTATCCTAGTGGTTAAAGCATTGGCTCGTCACGCCGAAGACCCGGGTTCGAATCCCCACATGGGTACAATGTGTGAAACCCATTTCTGGTGTCCCCCTCCGTGATGTTGCTGGAATATTGCTAAAAGCGGCGTAAAAACCAAACTCAGTCAGTCAGTCAGTCAGTCATATTCGTTACCCAAATTTCATATTTTTTAGCCAGTATTCATGATATGTATCCTATTCTCCTCATAGTGGATTCATTCGCAGGCTTAATGTACAGCATATTGTTACATACAAAGTGTTTTTACTCACCCTCGGAAGATACTGCAGTGTAATATTTGTACAGCAATAGTACACTAGTGTAATGCCGCTAATGCCGCTAGATGTATGACATCATAATGGTTTACAGTTATGACGTCACAATGCTAATACCTCTGTCACAATGGTATTAGATCTCGCGGAAGGCTGAGAGTCATCACACTGTAAGCAGTTTCTATCAATTTATGTTGTAGAGTAATAAACAGAATACTAAACTCGCTTCCAATTATTAGTACCATCTTTATTAAACTCATGAAAGATTTAGATTTCGCTCATTTGATATCAAATCATCAACTCGTTTAATAAAAATGGTATTACACGGACCGTTGTTTTGTATCCTTTATATCTATGCATGCCATGCATATCTATATATATACTACTCATACTTTGCTAAGGATCACAACTTTGCTAACTTTACTTAAACATAGATTTATAATTTGAAATTGTATCCATTTAAAACTGGATAAATAATGATATGGTAACCCTTCTTTAGACAAAAAGCCACTTTAATCTAACCTTATGCAGCTGATACATGAGTAACCATAAAAATGGTTTTCATGGCACCAATCAACCATTTTGCAAATCATGGAATGAGTCATTGACAAGTACACAACACCTGTCAGTAGCAGGTATGGGATCCACAAGATGCAGTGACATACTGAAACCTAGGATCCATGCTTACAATAAGCTCAGATACTTAAACCAAATTAGACCCCACATCATAGTTTTCTGTTGAATCAATGATTTGATCCTTAGCAAAGTGTGAATAGTATACATGATGTACAAATGGCTACTGCTCAACACTGAGTACATATCAGGTGAAGTTTCCCTAATATTTGCTCAGGGTATGAAATTTATTTGAGAAAAGAGGTTGAACTTTAGTAGTGGAGGATTTGAAACATTGATGTTGCAGGTTTTCTGACACTCACCATTTTGTCAAACCAAATGATGAGAGGTCGCTTGGTCTGATGACCCGAGCTGCCCTAGCTGTGATGGAAGACTTCAAGGACATTGTCATGGCGTACGGGCAGAGTGATGAATACAGCTTCGTCTTCAAGAAACACACCACGATGTACAACCGCACCGAGGAAGGTAGGTTCTAAAGTAGCTATGGGTGATTATTGATGACAGGGAAACAACTATTGGTACTACATGACAGAAATATGATTAGCGATAGCCTATTGCAACATACTATTGTGATGACCATAGTCTATTGCGACCAACTATTGCAGATCAAGTAAACAGTTAAAACATGAACTCAATGAAGCTGCAAGTCTTCAGGGGTGGATAACTCCGGTACTTCCTGTATTTTGCGCTGCATGTTTATCAACAGAAGTCTATCAATAGTCACACATACTATCATTGCATCGATAGTTTTTCGTTTCTGCCATCGATTAATTGCTATCGGAGACTCAACAATTGCAATCCATCAATAGTTCGATGCATCGTTTCAGCCCTGGTAGGCCGACGTCAGTGTGGAACTGTATATGAGGGGTGTGGTAGAAGTGTGGGGCTGTAAGGGGAGGCTGGGTTGAAATGGAAGGACTGTATTGGTGGAGGGGTAGAATGGAAAAGCGGGGTTGTAGTTGGGAGGCTGGGTTGGAATGGAAGGGCTGTATTGGTGGAGGGGGTAGAATGGAAAAGCGGGGTTGTAGTTGGGAGGCTGGGTTGGAATGGAAGGGCTGTATTGGTGGAGGGGGTAGAATGGAAAAGCGGGCCTGTAGTTGGGAGGCTGGGTTGGAATGGAAGGGCTGTATTGGTGGAGGGGGTAGAATGGAAAAGCAGGGAGGCTGGAGTGGGACACTGCTTCTGAAGGCTTGGATGGAAGGATTAGGATGAAGGCACAAGCCCTCGTGTCTTTGCGAGGATTAAAGATGTTAACAAAACATATGACATTTGAGATGACCCCCGACTCGAAATGCTTCACTGTACAATACATCATGACAAGGCCGGACACTTAGGTGTACCCTACACGCTTGCTTTGCCGATTGCTACGATACCTTCACATGCAATCGATTAAAACTTAATGTAGACATAATCATGGATGATTGGCCTATCGAGCACCGCTCATGGCACCTACCAAATTTTTATTGTTATTTCTGCAAGTCGATTGAAACCCGATTTTGACCCCCAACAATACGATCTTGACACAAATGGATGACGTTTTGTCTGCACAAAACAGGGGTGTGGTCAAAGCAAGCCCTCTGATTGGTTGATCCTTCTTTAGGAGACATTTACAACTGATGCTTTCTTTTGAGAAGCCATTGTTTGAAAAAATATTCTTACATTAAACAGTAAATGAAAGAAAAAAATCTCGCAAATTTATAAAGAATTGCAGATTTGCAAGCGTTGACCAATCAGAAGGCTTGCTTTGATCACACCCCCGTTTTGTGGGGACATATCCTCATCCATTTGTGTCAAGATCGTTTAGTTAAGAGTTAAAATCGGGTTTCAATCGACTTACAGAAATAACAATATAGAATTGTTAGGTTTCATGATTGGTGCTCGATAGGCTAATCATCCATGATTATGTTCACATAAAGTTTTAATCGAGTACATGCGATGGTAGCGTAGCGATCGGCAAAGCAAGTGGGTGGGGTATACCGAAGTGTCCAGCCTTGTCATAATGTATTGTACTGTGTAGCATATGAGTCGGGGGTCATCTCAAAAATATTTTTTTCATCGTTAATCTTCGCAAGGACACGAGGGCCTGTGGATGAAGGTGGCAGGATGGAACACTTACATATGTTTGTTTTATTGGTTTCGCTGGCTGGCTGCTTGCACAATTCAGGACTAATGCCAGTTTTATATTGCTGGACCAGTGATACACCACGCTGCAGTTGATACAGTATCAAACACCCATCCAAAGTATGCTGACTCCGAGCCCCCGGCACCATGAAGAGCTGGTTTAGTAACCCATGCTTGTCGTAAGAGGTGACTAATAGGATCCGGATGGTCAGGCTTGCTGACTTGGTTGACATATGTCATCGTATCCCAATTGCGTTGATCGATGCTCATGCTGTTGATCACTGGATTGTCTTGACCAGACTCTATTATTTACAGACTGCTGCCATATAGCTGGAATATTGCTGAGTGCAGCGTTGAACAACAAACCAACCAACCGAGCCCCCAGTATTTGTTTTAGTCCCTTAGTGCCAAACACCAGGCAAGATAACAAAAAAATAGCCTACCATCTTTCAATGCTTTGGTATAATGCAGCTTGGGATTGAGCCAGAGGGCGGAGGCAGTCCATGGCATCAAGGACGTGTTCCGGGAGATTGGTATAAACTCTGTATCATGTAACAAGTGGGAGTTATAAGGTGGGGGACACTGATTATGCTGATCGTCATATTGTCAGTATTTTATTCTTTGGTTATAGATTTAAATCATCATTGTGTTCAACAAGTTCTTTTTCCTCTTTCAGCAAGATAATGACCAATCTAGTCAGCCTATTCTCGGCAGCGTTTGTGATGAACTGGCCACGCTACTTTGCCACTCAGGAGCTTCAGTATCCCCCAGCATTTGACGCCAGGGTCGTCCTGTACCCTAGTGACCAGAATCTCAAGGACTACCTCAGCTGGAGGCAGGCAGATTGTGAGTTAGGGTGCATATTCTATGTAGAGGAGACAACTAAGTCTAAGGCCTTGACTAAAAATATAAGCCAATGAAATTTTATAAGAAAAGAAAATTCTAGAGCAAAATGTTTCAACACGTTTATACAGTTGAAGACGCTTAGGAAACAGATATAGAATATCTCTTTCTGATGTACCTGTACACTGGACTACAGTTGTAACACCTTAAAGGACCACTAATTTTAGTATCCGTGAAGGTCTGGGTTAGAATATAGATCTTTAGTAACCCATGCCTGTCGAAAGAGGCGACTAACGGGATCAGGTGGTCAGGCTCGCTGACTTGGTTGCCACATGTCATCGGTTCCCAATTGCGCAGATCGATGCTCATGTTGTTGATCCCTGGATTGTCTGGTCCAGACTTGATTATTTACAGACTGCCGCCATCTAGCTTGAATATTGTGGAGTTCGACGTAAAACTAAAGTCACTCACTCACTAATTTTAGTTTCCTATAATTCCTATAATAAAAAATACAATAAGTCGCGGGGACCCAAGAAAGTGGAATATCCTTTGGATAAAGGGACTTTTATAATATCTCCAGGGCAGAGGGATGTTCCGGAGGAGTCATCAACTTGTATAACACTGTGTTCCCTTCCCAGGTCACATCAACAACTTGTATAACACTGTGTTCCCTTCCCAGGTCACATCAACAACTTGTATAAAACTGTGTTCCTTCCCAGGTCACATCAACAACTTGTATAACACTGTGTTCCCTTCCCAGGTCACATCAACAACTTGTATAACACTGTGTTCCCTTCCCAGGTCACATCAACAACTTGTATAACACTGTGTTTCCTTCCCAGGTCACATCAACAACTTGTATAACACTGTGTTCCCTTCCCAGGTCACATCAACAACTTGTATAACACTGTGTTTCCTTCCCAGGTCACATCAACAACTTGTATATCACTGTGTGTTCCCTTCCCAGGTCACATCAACAACTTGTATATCACTGTGTTCCCTTCCCAGGTCACATCAACAACTTGTATAATCACTGTGTTCCCTTCCCAGGTGACATCAACAACTTGTATAAAACTGTGTTCCCTTCCCAGGTCACATCAACAACTTGTATAACACTGTGTTCCTTCCCAGGTCACATCAACAACTTGTATAACACTGTGTTTCCTTCCCAGGTCACATCAACAACTTGTATAACACTGTGTTCCTTCCCAGGTCACATCAGTCACATCAACTTGTACAACACTGTGTTCCCTTCCCAGGTCACATCAACTTGTATAACACTGTGTTCCCTTCCCAGGTCACATCAACAACTTGTATAACACTGTGTTCCTTCCCAGGTCACATCAAGCAACATTGTATAACACTGTGTTTGCCCTTCCCAGGTCACATCAACAACTTGTCCCAGGTCAATCAACAACTTGTATAACACTGTGTTTCCTTCCCAGGTCACATCAACTTGTATAACACTGTGTTCCTTCCCAGGTCACATCAACAACTTGTATAACACTGTGTTCCCTTCCCAGGTCACATCAACAACTTGTATAACACTGTGTTTCCTTCCCAGGTCACATCAACAACTTGTATAACACTGTGTTCCTTCCCAGGTCACATCAACAACTTGTATAACACTGTGTTCCCTTCCCAGGTCACATCAACAACTTGTATAACACTGTGTTTCCTTCCCAGGTCACATCAACAACTTGTATAGCACTGTGTTCCTTCCCAGGTCACATCAACAACTTGTATAACACTGTGTTTCCTTCCCAGGTCACATCAACAACTTGTATAACACTGTGTTCCTTCCCAGGTCACATCAACAACTTGTATAACACTGTGTTCCCTTCCCAGGTCACATCAACAACTTGTATAACACTGTGTTCCCTTCCCAGGTCACATCAACAACTTGTATAACACTGTGTTCCTTCCCAGGTCACATCAACAACTTGTATAACACTGTGTTCCCTTCCCAGGTCACATCAACAACTTGTATAACACTGTGTTCCCTTCCCAGGTCACATCAACAACTTGTATAACACTGTGTTCCCTTCCCAGGTCACATCAACAACTTGTATAACACTGTGTTCCCTTCCCAGGTCACATCAACAACTTGTATATCAACACTGTGTTCCTTCCCAGGTCACATCAACAACTTGTATCACTGTGTTCCTTCCCAGGTCACATCAACAACTTGTATAACACTGTGTTCCTTCCCAGGTCACATCAACAACTTGTATAACACTGTGTTCCCTTCCCAGGTCACATCAACAACTTGTATAACACTGTGTTCCCTTCCCAGGTCACATCAACAACTTGTATAAAACTGTGTTCCCTTCCCAGGTCACATCAACAACTTGTATAACACTGTGTTCCTTTCCAGGTCACATCAACAACTTGTATAAAACTGTGTTCCTTCCCAGGTCACATCAACAACTTGTATAACACTGTGTTCCCTTCCCAGGTCACATCAACAACTTGTATAACACTGTGTTCCCTTCCCAGGTCACATCAACAACTTGTATAACACTGTGTTCCCTTCCCAGGTCACATCAACAACTTGTATAACACTGTGTTCCCTTCCCAGGTCACATCAACAACTTGTATAAAACTGTGTTCCCTTCCCAGGTCACATCAACAACTTGTATAACACTGTGTTCCTTTCCAGGTCACATCAACAACTTGTATAACACTGTGTTCCCTTCCCAGGTCACATCAACAACTTGTATAACACTGTGTTCCCTTCCCAGGTCACATCAACAACTTGTATAACACTGTGTTCCCTTCCCAGGTCACATCAACAACTTGTATAACACTGTGTTTCCCTTCCCAGGTCACATCAACAACTTGTATAACACTGTGTTCCCTTCCCAGGTCACATCAACAACTTGTATAACACTGTGTTCCCTTCCCAGGTCACATCAACAAGTTGTATAACAATGTGTTCCTTTCCAGGTCACATCAACAACTTGTATAACACTGTGTTCCCTTCCCAGGTCACATCAACAACTTGTACAACACTGTGTTCTGGAAGCTGGTACAGGAACGCTGTCTCACACCTGCACAGTCTCAGGAAAAACTCAAGGTGAGTGTTGTTGCCATTTCAGTCACAACAGGACAGTCAGCTCAGGCTCACTTCTCAGCACATCTATGCAACAATCAAGATTTAAGAGAGTGTCGACATTAGTCAGATGAACTGGAATCAGTTGTACATGATGCTTCAAGGATGGTTGAATCCTGCTGAATTTACAACTGAGTGAGTGAGTGAGTGAGTGACTGTGTGTAGTTTTACACCGCTTTTAGCAATATTCTGGCAATATCACGGCAGGAGACACCAGAAATGGGCTTCACATGTTGTACCCATGAGGGGAATCGAACCGGGGTCTTCAGCGTGACGATCGAACACTTTAACCACTAGGCTACACCACCTCCCCGAATTTACAGCTGATTAATAATGTGGCCTGCATTATAATCACTTTGTGTACAGATATTTATTTCGAAAATTCACAGGGTAGGACCTCCAAATCAAAATGATGTTTCAAAAGTAACGATTTTTCTTTGCCTTCAAGGTTTATTGATTAGATTTCCCAACCAGGATGTAGCACATCAGGAACTCCTTAATGGTACAATAAGTTGAATATCTACAATAAGTTGAATACAGTAATCAGATACTTCTCAAACATACTGTAATCTGTCTGAAAACTTGGGGTGCAGTGGTTTATAATAATAATAATAATAGGCCATTTATATAGCGCCTTTCCATGTCACAGGGATATGCTCAAAGCGCTTCCTGAGTTCAAGTTAAAACTATATACAGCTGGCAGGTACGGATGATTGGAAGTCACTTGTAGCGGAGAAATAGATGAGTCTTTAGTCGTGTTTTGAATGTACTTAGGGAAGGAGATGATTTTAAATCGATAGGGAGAGTTCCACAGAGAAGCTGCTGCATATGAAAAGGTTCTTGAGCCAAATGATTTTAGATTGTAGCTCGGGATAGCAAGTAACAGTTGTTGTGATGAGCACAGAGTTCTTTCTGGAGAGTAATGTGTCAGAAGGTCTTGAAGGTAGGAAGGTCCTGAGTTGTAGAAAGACTGATAGGTGAGGCAGAGAATCTTGAAATCAATCCTTTCACGTATACGGAGCCAGTGTAGAGAGTTTAGAATGGGAGAGATGTGACAGCGAGGACTGGTGAGAGTGATGATGCATGCAGCTTTGTTTACCAAGTTAGTAGTTAGTGTCATGACAACTATTCTACCTGAGTGATTCTTATTCCCCTTGTTTTGTTCACTGGGCTATGACACACCCCTTTCAGTGAATTAATTATAATCATTATGACAACTATGTCGTGACTTCTTTGTGGGTCTGTTCTTGTTCTTTTCTAATTTCTACATTTACTAAACATCTGGGTTGGTGGGGTAGCCTAGTGGTTAAAGCGTTTGCTCATCATGCTGAAGATCCAGGTTCGATTCTCCACATGGGTACAATGTGTGAAGCCCATTTCTGGTGTCCTAGTGGTTGGAAAAGCGGTGATCCGTGGTTGAATCTGGAATATTGCAAATAGTTCCCCGCCCGTGATATTGCGCGGATAACTAAACTCACTCACTTCTAAACCTCTGAATCATTAATTAACAAGTACACAAGTCACTTTAACGCAGTTCGGACCTTGTTCTCCCTTCTATACTTTTAAGTCTGCTTAATTATCCCAACTACAGCCCAGCAACTGTTCCATGGTTCATTGTTATTGAACTACATCCTTATGATGTCTCTGTCAGTCATTCTGGTTGTTCCCAGCTGGTAGTGATCATCTCCACAGTCCCAAGTTTTACCTACTCTCACAAGTACACTGCCTCTTGTCGCAATTTCCAGAAACCAATTAATCCTGGATAACTGACAACCAGCTGTGCTTCTCTTTTGACACACGTTGGATACAGTTGATAACACAGGATATATACATTCATGTTCTGTACAAAGTTGTCTTTTAAATATACAATTTCATTTACAATCAAATAATTTTTAATAAACATCTGTTGCTTATGAATATAACCGGGACTGCATCTCCTGGCTGATAACTGTTCAACACTATTTTAGGTGTCAAGGGTAATTGTAAGTTGTAAGGGAAGTAGTGGTGGGGTGGGGATGGGGTGGGGAAATGATTAGACTCACCTGTCACCTGGTTGTGTCTTTTTGTGAGTGAGTGAGTGAGAGAGAGAGTTCAGTTGGGTTTTATGCTGCTTGGAATAGTAAACCAGTTATATAACACGTAAACTTACATAATAAATGTTGCAAGAAATTCAACACTGAAAACTTGACTGACACACTGGAGAAAAACCCCTCCCCCCAAGTCTTTGAAAGTATGTTTTCATGCCATCTGCTTTGCTCTTGGACTCATGCATAATACACAATTCCTCCTTTTTCTTTTCCTTATGTCCTCGTTTGTTTGGCCAGTGCAGATGGAAATGAAGGGTGGGTAATTTGTAACGACAAGAACCATGGTAATGGGGCAGGGCTCCAGATAATTTTTGAACATCAGGAGTACGTACTCCTAATTTGTTCAATATACGAGTACTGGAAAACCTTAAGAGTACATTTAGAGTACTGAATGGAAATTAATGAACTATCAGTAATCTTGTGTTTCATTTCATATATGCACAACAATATTGCTACTCTTGTGTAAACAGGTCAATAAACAATAAAACAATACTTTTTTTCAGATGAATACGTACGTAAATAATTCTAATACCATACACCATTGCTGTGGTGCGTATCTGCTACGTTTTCTAAATTATTTCCTACCGTATCGTGCATATTTTTTATCTGTACATACGCCGATACAGCCCTTATCTGGAGCCCTGGTAATGGGGTTTGTGTAGGTTTTGCTGAAATGCGAGCCTTGGAGCCTGGGAGGTATAGAGATACAATGTATTTGTAACTGATGATCATATATGACTGGCATACCCAATAGACAGTTGTGGTGGCTTCAGCGGCTGGGCGCTACTGTCTTTGGTGTTTTATTGTACAGTCATGTCGGGTACCCATGAGTTGTCCCACCTGGTTGGCTTGATCCTGGCAATTTACAGAATTGAGTATGACTCAAGACAAGCGAACTGTCTGTGTGTACCATTACAAGAAGACAGTATAGCATCATACCACCCTCATGTGATAAGGTCTGGTGGGTAGACATGCTCCTTGTATATATAGTCTGTTTACGGTGAAAACGTACCGATGAATTTCACTTTAAACAAAAAAGTAAATCAAATAAAGTGAAATTAAGATTGCGAATCCTCCTAATTTTACCTTGCCATTTGAAAATTTTAATCTCAGAATTTTATTCAACTTGGGATGAAAGTTGTTTAACAAATGATCATAGTTTCAAATCGGTATTATTGGTTTGTATTACAAGGGGGTATGCACATAAAATGAAACACCGAGATCAAGTAGGGTTGGTCTAAGTTAATGCTCATCACGTACCGCACGTGCATTTGTTTCACTGTTCCAACTACTGCGCTTACCCCCTTGTAATACAAACCAATATAAGCGATTTGAAACAATGATCGTTTGTTAAACAACTTTTTTCATAAGTTGAATACAAATCTAAGATTTAAATGTTCAATTGGCAAGGTAGAATAATGAGGATTCGCAATCTTAATTTCACTTTATTCGATTTACATTTTTGTTGAAAGTGCAATTCACTGGTACGTTTTCACTGCAAACAGACTATAGTGTTGACTGTTTCTGTGTTGCAGGGCACATTATCTAGTGACAAGAATGAGATTCTATTCACCGAGTTCAATATCAACTACAACAACCTGCCAGAGCTCTACAGGAAAGGAACAGTATTAATCAGGAAAAAGGTGAGTTGGGGAACTCACTATCAATATTTAGATTTCAGTAATCTTCAAGATCAGTTGACCTTGATTAGGTGTATGGATAATAGCTTTCCTCCCATAGTTCATTAGCGCATGTACAAGGTGTGAGAACCTCACTTCTTTCATGTCAAATGTCTGTTCAGAGATGCCAACCCTAATTTAGCCCAATTAGTATTTTGGCCAAAAACTGATGAAAAAATTAGTATTTTTGTCGAATATTGGTATTAACTTTTCAAAGAAATTTCAAATTTCATAAAAAATACATAGATATTATAAGAACTTGTTATTTAAGTATCCACATATAGCTTGATACCCGTGAAGGTCTGGGTTAGAATATTGATCTTCAGTAACCCATGCTTGTCGTAAGAGGCGACTAACGGGATTGGTGGTCAGGCTCGCTGACTTAGTTTATACATGTCATCGGTTCCCAATTGCGCAGATCAATGCTCATGCTGTTGATCACTGGATTGTCTGGTCCAGACTCGATTATTTACAGACCGCCGTCATCTAGCTTGAATATTGCTCAGTGCGGTAAAACTAAACTCACTCACTCACTGATACTGAATAAAATCAGGTTGAAATTTATTGTGTATGGTACATATGCTATTGAATGTATTTTCTGAAAAATTAATATATTTTAACTGCTATCATAGTTGCGTATTTTGTGTTGTTTTTTCGTAACGAATGTGATAAAATCGTATGGGTTGGCATCTCTGCCTGTTGTATCATTTGTTTAGTATTTTTTGATTATTCTCAATCTGTTCTCCGCAGGACGAAGTCTGTTCCTCCCCCACAAGGACACAGTCAGGCATGAACTCTCTCAACCACTCAATGTCAAAGCTGTCTACTGGAAAGAGCAAACCGCTTGTTACAACACTACACTGTGATATTATAGGGGCCAAATTTTGGGAGGAACACCCTGAAATTCTTGACCCCAAGAAAGGATAAATGTCCTGTTATCAATTTTTGCCTTTTTATACGCAATATGGATTTTAATATATTTAAGAAATCCTATACATGAGAAGGAAGTTATTTTGGATATTCTGAGTTAGCAAAGTAGTTTTATGCCCATGTATCAGTAATAACATCAGTCCTAAGAGCACAGGTCTGGTGCAGAAAGAGGAAAGAATGAACCTCAATAAGGGGATCTGGTCACAGAAAGGTGACGCAACTCTGCACCTGAGACCTGTGACATACTTCGAACTCAAGGAAATGTTATTTACTTTCCTGATGATAAAACAATGGTGATGTTGTTTAACACACTGGGCATGTGGGTGGTCAAATGCCAGACAAAACTATTGAACTTTGCAGATTCACACAACACTTGCCAAATACAGTCACCTTGCCATGAGCATTCTTTAAAGATTATATTTTTACTGGTCAACATGTGGAGTTCAAAGGAATTATAAACTACTCTAGAAAAGTTTAAGAACACGTACAATCAGAAATAACATAGTTAAATAGGTAAATTATATTTCTGGAAGTTGAGTGGAACTAAATGTCAGTCTGGAATTGAATAGCCATGTAACAAAGAGATCCTGCTGAGAAGGTGTTGATAGAGCTAAACAAATATTTCATTTGGAGAACCACACACTCAGGTTAGGTCTTGTCAAGGCAATGAACATCCATAAAGGGAGATAACCCAGCCATGTGACGGCGTTACCGACTGGACAAAACAAACAAACACTTCCACTTTGTTTACATTTATTGTGCTTTCTTGTAAAACTGCAATAATACAGTGAATGTGTTTGCTTTAGACATGTAAAGCAAATTATGATCATGTACATCTGTACAGCATAGTGTTATATACAAAGTTATCTATACAGGTGATACATACCTATATACATGATATTCAAATAGCTCAACATTTGAATACTGCTCACCACTGATAGGTCAACACAAGTCACATGAGCAGCATCTGCACCAATGAATGACTGGCAAGTAAAAGTCCATGGTGTATGTGTCCACATTATTGCTACTGCCACTATCCATTATTTATCTCAAACATGGACACTGTTTCACATGTCAAAATCCTTCTCATGTACGCGAGGAAAATCTGAATAAAGGGTTTTGAAGAGGAATTGTGTTTTGATCTTTGAAAACAGGTATTGACAGACAATATACAATGGATGTGGAAAGTTTTGACCCCAGTGAAAATTTCAGATTAATAAATCATGGAATGATGTCCATTTATTCATATAGTGACACCCGATAGTCTAAACGTTAGAATAACGCCCTTGGCCAGAAAATCTGAATTTGTTATACCATAATGTAGTTCAAAATTGAAATTTTGTTTGATGCCATCTTTAAATTCATGTTATTTCAACCTTGTATATAGTTGTAAACAAACAGTTTTAATGTATAACTAGGCATTAAAGCCTCTTCCTGTTATCAGTCAACTATTACATCTACAGAGTAATAACTATATTAACATGCACTTGGAAGTTTATAACTCTAAACGCTGCAGACCTGGAGCAAAATACAGGCCTCAGATTGGTCTAGGTAAACCCCTGTCTGTATAAAGGAGTAACAGAAACATCTATGATCTGTTTATCCAGATGATTTGGGTAGTAATGGCACCATCTTGAAAAACATTCATAAATATTCCTGACAGCAGTTTGGTAGCTAGCATTCTGGACCAACAGGCTCCAATTATAGGGGTTTCACTACAGACTTTCAAATTTAATACTAAATGTACTAAACTAAACTAGTAAGAAAAAGTTAATTAACTTGAAATTATACCACTAAAGTTAGTATTCCTGAATTCTTGTTAGACACTCCACTTCCAACACAACATTAAGTTCTTGTGGAGGTACCTCCAGTATTATCTATTGTGTGGGTCACAGCAAGGCAAATAGAAATTCTGAACAGAAGCCATTACTTGGAACAAAATATCACACTGACAGTTTGATTGTCAACATTATCTTTAGAAAATCTGAAAAGTGCTCACGTGGAAATCTGATACAACATGTTCATGACAACAACCGCGACATCACAATCACATGCCACTGGGCAGCATTAACTGGATCTAGTGACAAAATGTGCAGCTTGTTCAAAGAAAACTTTCTTTTGCATAAGGTACGTAGCATGTGGAAATTCTGTGGCAAACATTCACACAAGCAGTAACTGCATAGCCCAATATAACTAATGGAAGAATTCTACCAAGGCCACACAACAATCACCATGCCACGTCATCATGCTACATTCTTGGCAAGTTTTTACAAAAGATGAGACCATGTGCTCAAGACCAACCTATTCTGGCTGTATGGACAAAACAATGGCAAACATTCAGCATCTTACTGAAAGAACCATGGAAGTATAAATAAACAGTAACATCTAAATTACCTGGAAAAACTTCCTGAACGAAAGCAGTGTATGAAACTCCATAAAAACCAGGAAGCCCACAGAGCTGATAACTGAAACATGTTGCAGGCCCTGTTAACATGTAACCAGCCCTGTATTAAAAATAGGAAACTGAGATAAGGTGTTAAAATAATGTAATTAATGAATTACTTGTAGTGAAGTAAACTTAAACATGTGCAAAAGCAAATTTAATGGCGGGCACTGTTGCTCACGGAAATATTCAAAGATGTGTGATTGTTACATACTATTAGAAAAGAACAACATTGTTCATTGGCTGAAAGCATTCTCTAGACCAATCACATTTAGTGTTAGATAAATGGGTAGGCTGATCTGTGGAAGTTATGGTTTGATTGATCATGAACTATACAGACGTCGTCTAGCTACCACAATTGTAATTATTTTGGAAATATTTCCCGTAGTCAATGACATGGTCAAATATATACCCTTGGAAAATGTATTGGCCGACAGGGCTGGCTATAAAATAAAGTTGTAAGCCCGCCATGTAACTAGCAAGCAGCGGGCCACCGGGCAGACGCTATTTCATACACTGATGAAAGGCATGTTTCAGTCAACCATTTGAAAATGGGCATATTTCTGTATAGAACAGAATTGCCTACACATGGGTCTTGGGTTTGATTACCAATGGCAAAACCACAGGATGGACACATAATAGCCACTACCATAATTGTGACACTGCAATTTCAATTAGTTTCTAGGCTATTTTAAAGTATCAAACAGTAATTTCATATTCTGTGCCGCCATATAGCTGGAATATTGCTGAGTGCGGCGTAAAACTAAACTCACTCACTCACTCACATTCTGTGACTTAGACAATGAACAGTAACCAGTAACTTAGAAATTATGAAATACAACCGTGTTATGCCATGGAAGAAACATGGAAAAAGAAAACAGGGCTTCATGAGGATCTGCCATCAACAAACATCTTTTGCCCTGTGAACACTAATCACTGTTCCTATCATGATGATGAAAGATCTCGCACAGGCTTATGTAAGTTATGTATGATCAGCTGAATGGTGAGTGAGTGGATTTTTAGTCACATCAGCAGTATTTCTGCCATACTGTGACTAAAACAAAGCTGAATGGTACTGTATATGCTGTTGGATGAAATCTCGGATATTCAAAGGGTGTGTGTGGCAAGAACTGCAATACCAGATTTTTTAAATTAAAAACTATGAAACTGAATATTTTGTTTTGGTGGCTTGTTGCAACAACAAACATTAGTGGTTGACAATCCCAGGGCCTCCTTTCACAAAGCACTAAGGTGATCGTAAGTCGCTATGGTAACCTTAGTGCAATGTTAAAGAATGGGAGTTAAGGTAAGGGTTGCTTCATGAAAGGAGCCCCAGGTCTGGTCTAATCGCCATATTTCAGTGTTAATCTTAATGTGCAAATGTAAAATGCCTCAAGAAATCAAATAATTTTAGGTGCTTGCAAGCACTGAATATGAACAGATTTGGTTTTTTTTTCCCATTAAGACACCTTTGTAGAAAAGATGTCCTGTCATGACAAAAGCTGTTTCCACAGAACAGTTTCAAGACTGTAGTTGACAAATGTATCTAAACTGAGTGAGAGATCTCTCTTTGATTTATGCAAGCATGTTGAATATATGTTAACTGTTCATGAACTAAACTGACCTATAAGCATTCTCTGATGATACAGTCTGTTCTCATGAATAAAAAAGAAGTGAAGATTCTGTGGAGATGCTACAGTGTTGGGCTAGCAGACCCTGTCAACCAATGGATACCTGACCACGCTGTGAAAGGCACATCCATATATATCACATAAATAATTTAAGCGTATCAAGATCATAAGAAAAGCAAATGTACCAACCAAAGGAAGTTGAAGAACACCCAATTATTCCATGTGACAACTAGTACCTGCCATTCCTGGCGGGAACTGCAACATGATTCAAATTGTATTTTGAGTATACATTCCAATATTAACCAGTCAGCATGAAAGGTTTATTTACTTCTATTTCAGTGATCAGTCTAGCTTTATACTTCAGCCTAAGTAAACTTAGGCTTAGTATTAGTCGTTACACTGCTATAATGAGTCTAACAAACCCTAGTAGAAGGTCGCGTCAGCATACAGCTTACCAAATGGTGAAAGTTAACATTCGCACATACCGCTTGACCTTTACCTAAAAAACTTGAACGATTCCGAATGCTATTTTCCGCACGGTCACTTCCGAGTGATACACTGGGGGACGCAGTGAGTAAACAGTCCCTGAAAATAGCTTTTTTGTCAATATGCAAGGATATCATCTCGCTGAATTAAAAGATAAATATTAACCATGTCATTAGAAACCCCTAAGCGTATATACTGCAGGTCAAATATCTGTTTTATGCGGATTTTCGTTTGTTGATAGATCAGTGTCAGCGACCAGGGAAGAGAAAATCCAAAAACGTTTTGTAAGTCCCGCCGAACCCTCTGATTGCTTAAATCAGTTCTCCTGTCTCACGTTTAATTGGACGGTCATTGGTTGCTCAAAGGTTAGCTGACGCGACCTTCTACTAGGGTTTGTTAGTCTCAGTATAGAAGTGTAACGAATAATAATGAGGTTAAGTTTACTGAGACTGGCTTATACTTAGGTTATGTGGTCCCCTGGAATGGTGCAGTAAACATCAAGGTCAAAATCTTGTAATGATCACTTATTCTTAGGCAAGTCATAACAAGTCTGCTTGTCAAGGACAAGTTAACCTAAAATTGTATCAACTAACAGCTGGAAAGGTACTGACAGGCAAACAGACCTTTCTAGACATGTAGGTGGAGGTTTATGAAAAGCCATGGTTTGGGAAGTGTGCTGGTGTTATCACCACAGTATCATTGACAATGCCTTGATTGTGACTGATGAAGAAAATTCTTCAAGTATCCACTAAACCATTGGCTGGATACTCAGCAATAAATGACCATACAGCACAGTACTCTGGGCTGATATATGAATTACAAGGGCACAAAATTATCCTTTGAAAATAGCAAGGCTTCAGAATATTGAGAAGGAAGTACAAACCCAGTCAAAATATTTTGTTCTGAAGTAGCTTTCTCCAAAACAAATCTGCCAACAAATTCATACAGTTATCTTTAAAACAAAGATACTCTCAATTAATAAGCATATTGTCAGTATTTATTTGTACTTTTGTAAACATCAAAGCAAAAATACAAAACTCACCCAGTGTGGCCAATTGGACGTTATGTCTGTTTGACAATACATAAATATTTCCTGTAATAAGCTATAAAACATAATAAAATGCATGCATAACAATAGATTGTATGTATTATATGCAGGTGATCACTACACTGTTTTACAAAAGAATATAAACGTATACATCACAATTATCCATTATATCAGTACTATCACATAATAATACTGAAACAGAAAATAACTCTGGTGTTATTCACTCAGGAATGATGGCAGGTGCTTGCTTTACTCGATTTAATGGCAAACCTTAACAAAATTTGAACAGCATTTACAAGTGATTACAATACCTAAAAAATATGTGCATGTTGAAAAATTAACTTTTTTCATCTTTAATCAGGTGACCGACCATGACCAGCAAGGCAAACCAAAGAACTGAAAGTGTAATTCAGTGGGTAATTGTTTATAATTCTGTGTCCAATAGAACCAATTATTAATGGGTGAAAATATGAAGATGTCTATCTGTGTTTCAAAGACTTCTTTCAGCAGCAAGAGAAGGCTAATGACAAATGCTACACTGTTCTTGTTCCAGGCAATTCCTGATTCCTTAACTGTTTGACAAAATATTATTATTATTATATATCAAACCAAGACAAAAACAACACAACAATTCTGAAATCTGGTTAGCACAAGTTTGAAAAATTATCTTAAAATTCTTTTTCGAAAAACAATGTTTAAGGACCTTTTGCTCTTTGTTTCTTCCAAGTTGTACAAATATAGACATTAAAACCTTGGCAAAAACTGTGTAAGTTAAATACACAGTCATTTCATCATTCAAAAAATATATTATGGCTATAAATTAGCAGACTTCTTCCTGAACATATGAGCTGTTGCAGAATACCAATATAAACTTGGTATCTATCGGAACATGTCACCTGATTGAGTGAGTATAGCTAGATGCCACATTAGCAATTTTGAAGCTAATTGCCATGACCATGTTATACTGATATGTAATCAGATAAGTTTACACTGTGAGTAAAACTCAACTGTTGTTGATCTCATTTCATGCAACATAGACAGACTATACTACTCACACTTTGCAAAGGATCATAAAAATTCACAAGATTACTTAAACGTAGATTAATAATTTGAAATTGTATCCATTTAAAACAGGATAAATAATAATATGGTAACCGCTCTTTAGGCAAACAGTCACTTTAATCTAACCTTATGCACTTGATACACGAGTAATAAAACATGGTTTTCATGGCACCAATCAACCATTTTGCAAATCATGGAATGAGGCATTGACAAGTACACACCACCTGTCAGTAGCAGGTATGGGTTCCACAAGATGAAAGGGCATACTGAAAGCTAGGGTCCATGCTTACAATAACTTAATAAGCTTAGATATTTAAACCAAATTTGACCCCACATCATAGTTTTCTGTTGAATCCATGATTTGATCCTTAGCAAAGTGTGAATAGTATAGCTGTGTTGAAGACGCAACTGAAAATAATGATAAAAGTCATAAATGGGCAAACACACTCAAGGAACTCTACGACAGGCTGTAAAAAATGTTGAAATATATCATGTTCATGATCTGCAACAGCCAATGTCAGAGAAGAAGGAGGTCTCCTTCAAATTGTCTCAGTACCAGATTCTTGTACCTAGGTAAGCAGACTTAAATACTTCTTCAATATTGCACAAAGCTATTCTAGAAGAGAAATAACTGCTGGTCATAGGTGACCAATTCAGAGATATTTCACCTCCTGAAATCGGCCATAAATAAAGTTACATTTTACAGTCTCCAAGAAAACAACATGGTTTGATGGTGTAGTGGCAATTCCCATATTCAAAGCACTGTTCTAATCTACGAATCTTCAAGCTTCATAAGCAAATTTGTTGGAAATATTGTGCAGGCATGCATCCACACAGCTTGTGAGCGACTTCATGACTTAGATTGCAGAACAAAGAAAACCCATTTTGGCTCTCGAAAAGCCCATCCTTTATGGGTGAAATAGGTTCCATGCTGTACACTGAAATCTCGGACTCAAACAGGTGTGTTCTGGCGGGTAAGACACACTCCACGTGCATCAGGGAAATTATGAAAGACTTGATGAGAAAGTTTGATCACAGCATGGCACTTTGAGTTGTGGGAATGAATCTCGAGTTCATAGCACACCTTGAGAAAGCTGTCCCAAGATCCTGCCTTTCAGCACCAGTGACTCCATCACACATTACTTGATCGCAGCCTTAAAACAGAGTTCAGTAGATCCACATGCTGGGCATGTACCAGCATCACACGTCTGGCATTTATTTGAAACATTTCTGCAATTACCTGGTCTTTCCATCTCAGCATTGCTCTAATTAATATTCCTGGAACTAATGAGTGACAACTGTCATCCCTATTGCTGGGTCACAACATACCTCTGGACAATGATGGACTGGTTTTAGATGATCCTTGTGGTGCTTGACTGACTGCTTCGGATAATGTTGGAGACGCATAATCAAATCCAATTAGTCCCCAGCTCAAATCACATTACTGGTTTACATTAAAAGGTGTTCCTTCAAGATTTTCACACGTCTCGAGGCTGCTGGACCAGTGTGTCTACATCTGTTGGTGAAACTGCACTGGCAGTTATCCCAGGAGTGTCAATGATCACAATATTAAGATTCAACAAAACAACCAGGGTGTCTTGATCATGTGCTCCTCAAGCCATTGAACCCTTTAGAATGCCCTTCAGATGCCATCTACAAGGAGGCTCCTGACATCCTCAAACCTTTATCAATGTACTCTGGTAAACCCTGCAACGAGGACGGGTATCTCACACAGGTGTCTCTGTCACCATCAGACGCATCCTCGAACACATGCACCACATCGACTAGACCTGAGGTGCAGTGCCGTTCTCAAGACCTTTCAGCTGTTTCAGTACTGTCTCTACCAGCTTCTTCTTGTCTCGCTCGTTCCTCTTCAGTGATGCAAATAAGTTGTTCTTTTTCTTGTCAGCATTATTCAGCCTGAATGAGACAGAGGGGAAATATTCAAATTACAAAGCAGAGAAAATATGGTTCCCATTCATAGTTCTTGTAACCAATAATTTAATCTTTTGTAACTGCACTTTTTGGTATCAAATCGTTTTTAGACTCTGCTCTGAGAATTTTTTCTCTTCTTTCTGCATCAATCAATTAACAGAGCATGACCACCCAATCCCACCTGTCATGATCACCTCTTACAAAAAGCATAGGTTGCTGAAGATCAGTTCTGACATGGATCTTCTCAGGTTGCCTCGGAATTAAGAGACTGAAGGGTTAGTTGCCTTCAAGAGAACAACAGACATGTAGCAAAGGTACTTTTCTGAATAAATAAATGTATCCTGACCGAAACCCGACTTCAGTGCAGTGGGCCTTTATGGTGTAATTCTGTGCAATGAGTTTGACAAGGGTTCTGCAGTACCCAACATGACACTAAAGCAATGACTTCCATAAGTGTACTCATTAAACTTACTTTTCCAGCAAGCTGATTGCAACGTGTCGCTGGACGCGAAGGTACTTTGACTGCTGCTTGCCATAGTCAGCCAGGTACAGAGACCAGTCCCAGTTCAAAAACAGATCTAAAAGCTGAAACATAACAACATATGTTCAATAGCTCATCCTGTACCTGATACTAAAACAAACAATAAAACACCAGGCAATAATCCCACAACCACTATACCTTGACAACCCTGATAAAGAGTGAGTGAGTGAGTCAGTATGGTTTTACACCACTTTTAACAATATTCCAGCAATAACATGGCGGGGGACACCAGAAATGGGCTTCATTCATTGTACCCATGTGGGGAATCTAACCCGGGTCTTCAGCGTGACGAATGAATGCTTTAACCACTAGGCTACCCCATCGCCCCGAGAACTGTCAGAGTGGGATATCAACAGTACTTCAATAATTCATGGTATGTAAGCCTAAGGTGAAATTCTAGCATGTTCTAGCTGTCTCCTGAGTTAAGGCACAGTGCATGGATTTTCTGCTGCTGTTAACAGTTTTTCAGTTATGTAATGGTACCTCAGCTCAAAGTGGGTGGAAAAGCAGAAATGTCACAGGTCTTAGATATTCCAATTTCATTAAAACTGCTGACAAACCCAAATAAAAACTTCTTCTTTTTAAAAAAATAAATAAATAAAAAGATTTTAAAAATTGCTTTTGTGTCAGACTTTTGCACATTGACAAGAGCACCCCAAATGGCTTGTGTCCCCTGGGAACTAAGGAGCACAATTTGGATCTACTAATTTAAAAACAAAAACAATCATGTCTTGAATTCCTTCAGCCACATTTTTCCACAGCAAGTTCAAACATCTTCGGGATGAAACTGTCAAGTCAGGGTGTGTAAATAATGACAAGAAGAGCTCAATATCCTACCTGCCGAAGATCAGCAAAGGCCATTTGTAGAGTGCCATCATTAGAACCAGGGACTGGCTCTGAGGCTGCAAATTCTGAAACGATGAACTGAGTGTTATTTTGCTTGTGAGGGGGTCAGCTTTTAAAATTAGAAATTTTAAATGACTGGTCCAGTGAATATTGAACAAACTGTATGAATAGCAACTTTTTTATTTATTTAGTGAGACATTTCGATACAGATTTTTGTACCATTGTCAAGCAGGATCATGATCATCATGTAATATTGCATGCTGTACTTAACAATACACCAGCCATATGATGCAGTCTGCAGAACACAATCCAGTGACTGACATCATGAGCATAGATCCAGACAGATGGAGAAGATGACGTGTTCAATAACAAAGCCTGTGAGTCTGACACGCCTGAGCTTTGATCTACGTAACTGCCAAACACTGGATGACACCAATCAACCAAGACGAACAAAGGCAGTTGGGGACCAAAACAACAAGGACCCCTTCTTTGAGTTGCATTTTTAGAAGTTGGAGGGGTCCTTGTTAGGACAAACTTTATGGGTGAGTGAGTGAGTTTAGTTTTACGCCACACTCAGCAAAATTCCAAATATATGGCGGTGGTCTGTAAATAATTGAGTCTGGACCAGACAATCCAGTGATCAACAATATGAGCATCAATCTACGCAATTGGGAACCGATGACATGTGTCAACCATGTCAGCGAGCATGACCACCCGATCCCGTTAGTCGCCTCTTACGACAAGCATGGGTTACTGAAGACCAATATTCTAACCCGGATCTTCACGGGTGACAAACTTTATGTATGAACAACTTCTTTATTCAGGTGGTGCGACGTTTAGATACAGATTCTAGCTTGACAAATCCCCATTTCAGCCAGGGTGTTTTATGATTCTGACTCACGTTCACACTGCATAAGATCCAGGTTAAACTGCTGGAGCGAGCCAAGGGTGAGTTGTCGGATGTCGTTATCCAACAGGAAGCCCATCATGGTGCAGGCAATGTGTTGACAGGCTGACATACACGCCGTCTTCGCCACCTTCTCCTGCAAATACACAGACATCATTCACTTGAAATATGATGTTCACCATGCTATGTAACATGCTGTAACATTAGGCATGTTTTCTAACTTAACACCAACTAAGTACCAGCATCAAATCATGCACAAATATTCACATTCAAATTTAAGTAAAATTACAATTACAAGACAATAACACGATCTTTCATTGTTGAAGGACACCCTGTTATTACCAGCTTTCACTGTGAAAAAAAACACACACACAAAAAAAATCATAGAAAGGGTAAAAGTGTATCAGTCACACATGCTCTGCCTTCATACTTAATGCATGTAGTGCAGCATATATTAAACGATCATTTTGTTTTGAAGACCTTAGCATGCATTGAAAGATTTGACATGAAGCAACATAAAATCAAAATTGCTAAAGATAACTTTGTACAAAACATAATTCTTCCAGAGACAGGGCTAATGCTGTCTGCTTTAACAACTTGACAATATCCCAGCTATAACACATTGGTCTGTAAATAATTGAATTTGGACCAGACAATCCAATGATTGATATCATCAGCACTTGTCTATGGAACTGGAATACAGTAACATCGATCCTGTTAGTCGCCTCTTATATAAGTAAGAGCTAAGGTAGACCTTTTACTGAATTTCATGAGATCCAGAAAGCCTCTGTATGCTAAGAGACTGAAACCGTTATCCCAGACATTACCATCTCAAATGAAATAATAAAATAATAATCAAATACCCACAGACATCACAGATCTTTCAGTCTGCAGACAAGTAGGGTCCAGATTTACGTTTCATCATAAACCAAAAAATTATGATCAAGATAAAAAGAATGTTTTTTCACAAATAACCTGGGGGCCATATCACTTATGCATATACTGTAATGATCTACAGAAAATGTTCATCTTTGCATACAACAGGATTCTCAATCAGCAACCAACCATCGTCAATGTTAGATTTAGAACTAAGTGATGATACAATGTTGATGCAAACATATGAAGTAAACTGAATCATGAAAATGTGGTTACAAATTCCAAGTTGCAATTCACTCATGCAAACAAACAGTGATTTGTCAGGTAACTGCAAGAACGAAAAACAAGATATCAAATAATGAAGCATATACATTTTACAGAGTTTTGATTACATCTCTGGGTATAGACAAGTTTTTGTACATTTCTATGTGTTTGTACATCTCAGATGCCTTGACATTACTTTGATCAAGGTTTATCTTACTGCAAGTAGGACTATATCAGTCACAAGATAACTAGAGCTATCTGCCCTTGATACAATACAAAATATGTAACGTACAGGCATCCTCGATAATCTCCAAGGTATACGTTCTGATAAATCCTCCAACTTGTACCCTGGATGCATCTATGGCTTGACCCAATAATTTAATTACCTCCCTTTGCTGGGTCTGCCTTCTCACAGTAGCCAATCAGATATTACTGTGAAGGTTTGCTTGCTGTGCGACTCAGATTTACGGAAAAAATTAAACAGACTAATTTGACAGGTCTGAAACCTTAAAAATATATATATGCAAGAACTCCTTCTACCTGTTTCTGAGTACATCTGCAACAATTGTGTTGCCAAGTTTAATTGGTTAGATAAAAGAAGTGAAAGTGCCTTATGATAGAAGACTTGTAATTGGTACGCTCAACTTCCCAGCATAGACACCTGATTGGATAAAAAGCCAGCAAAAGGAGGTAATAAAATTATTGGGCAGAGCCGTAAATGCATCCAGGGTACAAGTGGAGATTTATAGGAATGTATACCCTGGAGATTATCGAGGATGCCATACAGGTGACAATTGTTAAAAAAGACAGCCAGTTACTTGACTCGATGTACAGTCTTTCTTTCTGTGTTACAGTCTCATTGCAGTGCAACTCTGAAAGTCTACAAAAGATCGCAAAACCCCAACACTGATGATAAACGCACTGACATGATAAACATACTGGGGCATTAAAAGTCCTGAAAATTACAAGCAAGCTTACATGAGATTTCTGCTTAAAGATATGCCTAGATCAACATCTGAAAACACATCCTCAGCAGATCAGGTTTTAGAGCTCATAAGATGTCATCTTTCTAAAAATCTTTGCCTATTTCTCTACCACTACGATTTGGAACATTTGATTTGTACAAAGCTACATTCAGTATATAGACAGGGTCACAAGGGTTTCAACTCAAATGTATGTAAATATTTTGGTGTGGTTTCTTTCGGTTACTTTTACTCTAACAGGAAATGACAGTATAACATGGAAAGTGTCAAGTTTGCATGTATGTACTGTACTGTTACTATTAGGTGAGTGAGTGAGTTTAGCTTTAGGCCACATTCAGCAATATTCCAGCTATATGGCGGCTGTGTGTAAATAATCAAGTCTGGACCAGACAATCCAGTGATCAACTACTATTTAGGCATGTAAGATATTGCTAACAGGTTTTATCTTCACAGACATATAAAAAAATGTGACCTTGCAAATAAAACATTAGAAATGACAAATTCTGCATGAGGCACCAAAATGATTTATTATATGTAAGTGTGAAATATCTAAGTATTCCAACAATACAAAACAGTACAAGCAAAACTTTAGGATTGATTGAACAACAATGTTCTGCAAAGGAAGCCGCACAGGTGGGGATAAACGAGGAATAGTGATCACAGCTGATTGTTTCTCATCACTATCAGTAGTATAGGACCATAATCATAGAACTGTGAAATATTATTACACGTACATAAACATGTCATTACAGTTACACATGTGCCAGCTAAATTAAGAAAACTATCATTACTATACATTGAACTCTTAGGCCACAATAATATTTATTAGATCTTTTTTTAAAACAGAGCAGTAGTTGGCAATACATTTTTAACCTACATTTTATTTTAACAAAGTTTCCAAGTGAGCTCTATATTAACCTTTAATAACATGATTCATATGAAACATGAATGTTTGGTAGGGATAGGTTTTTGGTGGATATATCGCAGGAAAGGAACTCATTGTGATTTTTTCATTTGGGGACTATGTTGTGAGATGGGGTGTTTGCATGTGCACCAGTGATAAAGGAATAGTTTATGATCTCAAAATGGAGGTTTAGGTTAGAATATCTGAAATCCACGAGAACTACTCCAAATTTGCCAGATGCTTTGTATCCTATTAGCCGTTGTAGGATAGTGATCACAACTTCAGAATTGAAATACTTCTTATTAGTGAGGGACACTTAAGCAGGTTAAAGCATTTGCTTGTGGCATAATCGTGTGAGTATATTACACACAATCAGAGGAAAACAGATCTCCATTAATATATCATACCTGTTGGGAAGTAATTTAGTCCAAAACTTCCAAGTATATGTTGGGGAGGATGAAATTAGAGTGCAGAGGGTAATGATATTGAGAGAACTTACCCAGGTTCTGAATGACGATGTTTGATACATAGTCCCACTAGGCTGTGTTTCAAACAAGATTGAGTGGGTGAGTCTAAGCAGTAGGTGAGGCGAGGTGAAATTGGATTTAACGTCATATCAAGATATTTGCACATATATAACGATGCGCGTGGGTGTCTTATATGTACAAGTCAATAATTAGGCTGATTTTAACATGTCACAGTTTAACATATTTAGTGAGTACGGTTTTACACCACTTTTAGCAATATTCCAACAACATCATGGCAGGGGACACCAGAAATGGGCTTCGCACACAGCACATATGTGGGGTCAAACCCAGGTCTTCTGCGTGACGAGTGAACACTTTAACCACTAGGCTACCCCTTCACCCCTTAACATGTGTAACTCCCCCCTACTCAGACATAGTATACTGAGTCCGAGCAGACCTTTCCTTGCTTTAACGCCTGTAGTTTGAGTGCCAGGAAGGGTAACAACTAGGGCTGCAACGAATACACTATGTGGCAAATACGATACGTATCATGAATTTTGGGTAAGGAATACAAATAATTATTCACAAATACAATATTGTAGTTAAGTGATTGATGCACTTTATGGAACATCCATGTTGACAGTTTTGATTTGTCACAGCAATAACCAGTGATCTCATGACACTCAAATTTTGTATGTAATAGTTATAGTCGACAGTACCATGTGCAGTCTTGGCAAACTAACATGATTTGCACTACTGCAATGCTAGTACATGTTCCATTCTTGCATATCTCACTTTGGAAAGGACATAAGAGTTCAAGTAAAACATTCTCCCTTAAAAAAATCGTAAATATTCATTAATATTCGGTTCTGGTGACCACGAATAACGAATTGAATTCATGAAGGGCTACGGTTCGATTCAGCGAATATGCAAGTGAATCGTTACAGCCTTAGTAACAACAAGTATCAACACTCTATGCACTTGACCAAGGAGGCAGGCCCTTAAGCGGGTATTGGTTATGTCACAGATTCAGGCTAAGGGATGCAACTCTGCCCAGCGACTTAAGAAAAACCCTAAACAACTGGGCACCCTTGCACAATGGGAGAGAATCTTGGACTTGAATCTGTGTTCAGAAAATCCTTACAAGGGACACAACTCTGTAGGACCACCAGCAGATGAGTTTACAAGAGCTTATTGTCTTGATGTTTTCTTAACCATCTATATTGAATACAAAGTTTAGAAAATTGATTTGTTGTGTATAATGATACAAAAACAAATACAGTAAACTTGTATAAGTATAATGAGCATGCGTTCAATGAACTGATGTCATTTTCCTGGCAGCATGCTGTATATTTATATCAAAATGTGTATAATGGACTACAGTTATAAGGCACACAAAGTAGTGGTCACTTAAGTTCATAATAACGGGAGTTTACTGTATAGACTAAAGAATTCTTATGGCAAATGCTGATTTGGATCATCAGTGTTGGGCATTAGCGTTTTTGCTGTAATAACAATATTCCAGCTATGTAACAACATGATGCTTAGTTTATCCCTGACAAACCATTGTTTGAAAGCATAAGCAAATTGATGGGATGAAACACCAATCAGCCCAAACACACCAAGTCCTCAATTTAGCATGTGCAAGTACTGGGGGCTTATTCTTTCAGACTGCTATCTTTATGTATTCTTCTTGAGATAATTTCAAATTCTTCATCCATCTGAGTTCAAAGTTTGCACATAATTTCTAAACTATATTTTTGCTAAGATACTGGGTGCCTTTTCTCCTAAACATAATTTCAGAAAAAGGAAATTGGAAAATATTGTTATTCCAAATCAGCAATAATGAAACCATTGTTGGCTTACATTCCACAACTACAAATCTAGATGTACATTACACAGCACAGAAGAAACTAATTTGGAAATCTCACCAACATGTACATCACCATAATGACTTGTAAGTGAGTTGGGTTTAACACCACATGAAACAGTATTCCACAGCTCTGTACAGTCAATGACAACACCTTAAACAACTAGGTCATCAATGTTGCCACTGTTATCATCAAAAGGACAAGTGAGTGAGTGAGTGAGTTTAGTTTTACGCCGCTTTTAGCAATATTCCAGCAATATCATGGCGGGGCACACCAGAAATGGGCTTCACACATTGTACCCATGTGGGGAATCGAACCTGGGTCTTCGGCGTGACGAGCGAAAGCTTTAACCACTAGGCTACCCCACTGCCCCTAAAGGACTAGTGACTGACTGAGTTTAGTTTTAACCATATTCCAGCGCGAGGCTACCCCACTGCCCCTAAAGGACTAGTGACTTATATGAGTTAATCTCACATCCTACTTGTAGTAGTTGACTGAAGCCTGAGGTAAAGCTAAAATCTTGACTTTGTCACTCCTAGTGAATATTAATATGAGGTCTGGACAACAGTTACTTGAAAAAGAAAAACTAAAACAATAACCTATCTAGAAAAATAAACAGACATTATCGTTTTTTTCACAAAACTGAAACAAACAATAATAAATTTAGTATCTGTTAAATAAATACTTGAATGAAAATTAAACAACTCATTTATTTGTGGCCTTACCAAGCCACACTGGCCAATATTATGTGTGGGTCTGTAGAGGACAGTGCTGGCCATGTCGGATGTCAGAACCTTGGCCCATGCTATTGTAAGGAGGACAGGGATCATACGAGGGCCTAGGGGTACAGCACTATATAGGATGGGCCATGTGAAAACATCACGTGATCATGCAGGAATGGAAGTTTTTGCAAAATCTGATTTCTGGTTACTAAATTCTAAGGGAATAATGCAGGCATGCTCTCATTTTTTTTAAGATACGACTCAAACATGGCCGGACCCTCTTCCACAAAGAGATCATTGTGCTACAAGTGTTTTAAGCCCATGTTTAAGTATTGGCGTTACAAGTGTCTTTGTGCTTCGATTGCTTTGTGGAACAGGGCCAGATCTCCGATCTGTGGCAGACTGCAGAAACATTTTGCATGTCATGTGACATTTATGCAAAACTGACTGTTATTGAACGCAATACTTAACCTGTATGAAGATGGTTTGTGAATAATGATCTGAATAAAACATTCCGTTGACATACTGACTGACTGACTGACTGAGTTTAGTTTTACGCCGCTTTTAGCAATATTCCAGCAACATCACGGCGGGGGACACCAGAAATGGGCTTCACACAATGTACCCATGTGGGGATTTGAACCCGGGTCTTCGGTGTGACAAGCCAACGCTTTAACCACTAGGCTACCCGCCCCCCCTTGACATACAATGATCCATGCTATTGGGGCAAAATGACAGCCTGACCATTCAATCTGTTTAGTTGCATCTTAGGACCAAGATAGGTTAGGGAACTTTTAAAATTTGTAATCCAGAAGAAAATGCATAGTATAGATTTGTTGACATGTTCACTTTGTGTCATGAGTTAGTGGTTATGTCTAAACATGGAGGAAATGTGGGAAAATATAATCAGAATGGATTATCTGAACGTATAATGAGCTCACCTTTGAAGACTGTATTTTGGGAAAAGAAGTGTGCATCATACACAAGAACGTAACATGTCTACCTAATAAAATATGCCACAGATGTGAGAATCAGTTATAAATCAGGACCCCTTTCCACTAAGTGATTATAGTGTTATGGTTCCCATAACTCCCATTCCTTAACATACGCTTATGTGAGTTGTTGAGCTATTATCGCTTGTGGAACAGGGCCCGCATTCATCTATATCTATCTGGATCTACATCTAAATCATATCTACATCTAGCCTGTCTAAACATGCTTCAGTATACATCATACAACATTCTGTGGTTCTATGTTACATGTACAGTGAGTTACATTCCCATTCCTTCTTGCACAGGTTATCAATACTGACGAGCAACATTAACATAAACAATGGGTGAATTTATTTGAATGAGACTAACAATTTTGTAACAATGTATCATTACTGGTGATAATTCAATTTTAATTCCTGATGGTTAAAAATGTCATGCAAACATCATCTTTAATAGCTGTTAATGCAATTGACTTTGTTACTTAACATTTACACAAACAATGTGCAAAACTCGACATCTTCTCTCCACAATACTGTATTTCAAAACCAACTTGAACACTACAAACAAGACAATTTTTGGAATAAATTCGTTTCCATTTCCATCATTTTTTATTACCATCGTTGCTGAAATGTCTTGATACATGAGCCAATCTTTGATTTGGTAGGCAGTTATGATCTTGCAAATTGTTTTGTTTAATGTTTCATTACCTGCAACACTTCTTCATAACTATGTGCAACATGAACTTTTAAAAACCAAATCTAGTGTGTGCTCTGAATAGCATGCTGTCATTCTCAATCTTATAGTCAGTTTACCAAAGCTGGGTTCTTAATTCTCATCTGTAACAAACATCAACACATTGCGTGTACTAAACTCATTTCACCATGTAGAAATAGGGTTGTCAGCAACAAAACAGGACTTATCTGTGTGTAAACAATTATTCAAGAGTGGGGCTGTCATGAACATCAAAATGCAGATATATCTTCTGGGGTCTACAATGCTTGCTGATACTGAAGTAACTGCAGTGTGTGAGATGGGTTTAACACCACTTTCAACGGTATTTCATTTATATCACAGTGTGTCAGTGTGATGTAGAATGGTGAGTGAGTGAGTGAGTTTAGTTTTACACCCCTTTTAGCAATATTGCAGCAATATCACAGCAGGGGACACCAGAAATGGACTTCACACATTTTGCCCATGTGGGGAATAGAACCCGTGTCTTCGGCGTGAGAAGCGGAACGCCTTAACCACTACCACGGCTACCCTACCGCCCCTGATGTAGAATAGAAATCCAGATAATGAAAGATGTTTTCCACTTTGGTTAATTATGTATAAGCATGTATAGCATGTATAGTTGCTGACACACCAAGAAACATACCGTGTAAATCAAGGGATCAGACACATGACCACAGGTGTCTGCCAGAGATGGCGGCATTACCTTGTCTCTTGTATCAACACATAAGTTAGAACGTAGATACTGAGAACGTTTTGGTTACTATACTGCCCTATACTATCAAATCTGTTCTGGTCTAACCAACCCATCATGCATTTCTTTACAAAACTGTTCACCCAGCACCTAATCTACGTGACTAATTACCATGAAAACCTCATACAGAGATTTAATATTTGCAAAAACAAGTCCAATACTAATGTTATGACAGTCTTACCATATATAATTCTATCATCTCATACAACTTCTATGACACCTCACTTCACAACAACTCATGCATGAAGATGAATTATAAAGAAAAGTGGTGTGTATCAAAGAAAGCACTTGATACAAGAAATTAGTTGTGCTTAAGCAAAGTAGAAGCTTCTACTAAGCACAGAAAACTGTGGTCAACAAGCCTGTGGTCTATATAACGAGACACCTGGTGTTACTCACAGGTAGGTTTGTGAAGGACATGAATGTACTCTGCAGGAAGGCCACAAGATCCATGAGATAACCACTAGCATGGCCTGAAGATTCAGCCAGCATCCAGTTGTAATTAGCTGCAATAAAACATACCTTCATGTAGACACAGGACCACAGAATTCAACCGGAGAATGAAATATACCTTGGAGACATTTCAACAAAATATCTATGCAAAATATGTGCTACAGGAAACACTACTGTATGCCAACATCTACATATTTGACTAGCTTATTCAACTAACTTCAAAATTTGTTCAATAAACATGATCTAATAACAATAATCTAATGGATTACCTGGGTCAAGCAACTCTCAGTAATAGTTTGGGGGTTCAAGGAATGAAACCTATGGGCTATTGGGCAACATCAGGCATGGCATGCTTCAAGCTATTTCTGCTACACATGATCAGAGCTATTATAGATATGGAAAGGGACACTAATATTTGAGTATTTCCTCCAACCTAACAATGATTTAAGGTTTTTTTCTGATGCAAACCCACTTAATCAAGAGCATTTATCATACCACTGTATAAGTGTGTAACAGACAAAATACTCTTCATAAAGCCAGAGTGAGTGAGTGAGTGAGTGAGTGAGTTTAGTTTTACGCCACACTCAGCAATATCCCAGCTATATGGCGGTGGTCTGTAAATAATTGAGTCTGGACCAGACAATCCAGTGATCAACAGCATGAGCATCGATCTGCGCAATTGGGAACCGATGACATGTGTTCATAAAGCCAGAAATCATCTCCCTTTGCTTATGCTTGTCACTGCCTCTTTCCCACTCTCTTTCACATTGATGGCAACATTCATCAGTCCAACACTTGTATTTCTACCATCCATCTCTCACCATCACAGTGCAACATTTTCCAATACTTACCTAGTTCTAAGAACTCATCTATTTTCAGATTCAGCTGCTGGTATATATGCTGCTCGGCATCATTCCGCGCATCCTAGAAACAAAAGTCAACATATAGCTATGAATCTGCATCTTAGTCAGTAGACCGAGTCTAGTAAAAATCTATTAAGTCCAATAAGATCCATTTGATAACAAGAAATTCAACTGAAACTTATGAATACAGAATACAATATCACCATTAAAATGGTGCATTCCACAACAGGAGAAATATAGAATTTTGCCATATTCTGATAACTGAATTAATTACAGGAAATTCTGAGGCTCCAAACAGTGCACCTGACAGTAGATCGCTCAAACAATTACTATGAAGACAGGAACCATTTATTGGCAACAACAGCTTCATTGATGGTCACTAGCATTTCAATGCTACTTGTCATCTATATATCTGTATAAAGTTCCAAGTGGTTATTTAACAAACTTCAAAATGCAAATTATGACTTTGCTTTTTACTAGTTGTCAGCAGACTTATGTGTTAACTTGACAGTCGTAACCAATTTCTTCTTACCTTGAACATAGAGGTCCCATGTAACCTGGCAATATGGACGCTATCTTTTTCAGCACTACAAAAACACACACACATATTTACCAAGTCTTCAAACTGGGAATCATATGACAAATATTCAACTTCTCAAAGTTGCAATTAATTTTTCATTTGTAGTTGAATGCTGCACTCATCAATACTCAAGCTAAATGACAGTGCTTTGTTAATAATTTAGTATGGATCAGAGTTCTTGGTACGATGTGATCAATGATCCACACAGTATTAATGACATATCATCAAGAAAGTCACCATGCAAGATGACCCGATCAGTTTAGTCGCCTTGTATGACAAGAATAGAACATTGAGTACTTGTATTCTGCCACAGATGACCTGATCAATATAGTCCCTTTGTACGACAAGACCAAGTTGCAGGGGACCTGTCTCCTTGCACAGAACAGCATGTCATATAAATATTCTTGAAACATTATCAATATGAAAGACAAGCAGCTGAAGTGTGAGAAACATGTCATGAAATGGCCACCTACCCAGTGATACTGGAGATGTACTCCTCGAGGTGTTCACATGATCGCTCCAGATAGTTCATGTTGATAGAGATCTGGATTAACTACAACAACAGACAATAGTGCTACAAACTATTTCAGGTTTCGGTGTCATGCTTTCATGGCCATCTTCCAAAAGAACTATATCCCATCTGAACGCCATCCCAACCAAGGTACTGGCTCCCCTTTTACATCTAATTATCCCAGTCGAATAACTAAACCGCCATAGGAGTGTGTATGCTTGTTGCTTACTGCCATCATCCAACTATATCACAGCGGCCTGTAAACAATAGAATCAGGGCCCGTTTCACAAAGCTCTCGTAGACCTAAGATCTCGTAACTTTTCTTGTAGCATTCGTACCTCCTATACTGTAACGTTGGGAGTTTGAATGCTACGAGAAAAGTTACGAGATCTTAGGTCTACCAGAGCTTTGTGAAACAGGGCCCTGGACAGTAACTGTTATAGTGAACCACAAGCCACATTGCTATGGTACGATGACATGTAAAGACGTGCATATCTAGTTAGCACAACTATCTAGGTGTAGGCATATATTGAATGGTGAAGGATTCAACGCTTGAACACTTTTTTCACCTTCCACTATTAATATCATGCTATATTTATTCCCCAACCATACACATATTCTGGTAACATGTACAAGGTTGACATGCCACACATACCTGTATTAAGCTAAGTCTTGGTGTTTTGATAAGGTTGGACAGACAGTTACCAAGGGTCTTTGTGAGCAGCTGATTGGCAGACTTTCTGATCATGTCATCTATCTCGGTGTGACTGAAACAGTAATAGAAGCTCATTTAAAACATCGTCAACACAGCATATACATATGCATATGTGTCATGCCTGTAAACTACGACATGGTGAGGAATTACAGGTACGCACATCAAAATAGACACTTTGGGTAATCACACATCCCTTACTTATAGTATTGTCTTATAGAAAAACAAATTATGTGGAATTGTAATTAAGCGAGTAAAAACTGATTGGGTAATAGTAATTTATTTCACATATTTAATGCAGATATGCAGTTTATCTAAAACTCTACTCAGTCTGACCATCCAATTCCATTTTCAGATAAACAGATTATGATTGTAATGTTATGAGAATCATAATATTCATACACAATGTAGAAATGAACATTAAATGTAACCCACCTCAAATGAAGATCAGCAGAAAACTTCAAACAGGCATTGATGTATTCTTTGACTTGATTGTATATACTGGGCACAAACATGGAGTAGGGAAGGACTTTGGGGTATGGTGACTGGAACAGAAAAACATCAATCACAACTTCATGCTTCACATATATACTGAGAAATGTTGGCAAGCTCTGACAAGTTTCTAGGACTTCTGTCCTGCCCCACAACAAAGCACACGTGACACATTTAGTCTCATCTTAGGCAAGCGAGTTCAAATTTGCCTCTGTTCACAAAAACAGAAAATGGGTACACGATGGGATAATGAGTAAGTGAGTGAGTTTAGTTTTACTCAGCACTCAGCAATATTCCAGCTATGGTGGCGGTCTGTAAATAATCAACTCTGGACCAGACAATATAGTGATCAAGAGCATGAGCATAGATCTACACAACTGGGATATGATGACACGTGTCAACCAACTCACCCGATCCCGTTAGTCGCCTCTTACAATAAGCATGGGTTACTATAGACTAATTCTAACCCAGATCTACATGGGTCCCAATGGCATAAGTCATATGGAACAAGTTCAGTGCCTATATAAGAGGCCTCAATATCGTTCCCTAGTCACTCTAATGTGCATTTGAGAATTGCAAAACAGCTTTCATACAATTCTGGTGCTTTTCGAGAACAAGCTCTCTTTCTAAATGTCCTACATATCCTTTCAAACACGTATATCAATGTAATTGAAGCACTTATCCTTCCTGTAAAGACACTGACAAGTAGAAGGGGCTCAGTTACCTGCTGAAGCTCATCATCATTCAACGGCAACTGTGACATGATGAGGCTAAACTCCTCCTCGTCAGCGCAGCAGATGGGGGGTGTAGTTGTCTTCCTTGAAGATGTCGTTGAAGATGTCCACCCACTGCTCCGACAAGATCTCACTGTATCGGTCCCTCATCTCTAGCAACAGCTCCAACAGTCTTCCAACGCTAAAACCGTAACCCTGGCAACAGCAATAGAAATCAAGAGTGTGAGACATTAGCCACTAGTTTGAACACTGGGTTTGGTAAAATATCTTTCCTAAAAATTAAGCATTGACTTCAAACTCTTTTTTATGGTTCCTGTTGCAAAAACTACAAGGTGGCAAAGCTATGTATATGAAAATGTAAAAGAATATCTGGTTTTGTATCTGTAGATGATAAAATATCTTGTCTCCATGCAAAAACCCATCCTCGATAATCTCCAGGGTATATGTTCTGATAAATCTCCACTAGACCCTGGATGCATCTATGGCTTGGCCCGATAATTTTATTACCTCACTTTGCTGGCTCCGCATTCTCAGAGTAGCCAATCAGATAAGCCGCCGTTACAACCAAGCTTGCCAGTGTCAACAAAGATAGCAGTCGCAGCCGCAAAAGTTTGTTCCCAGTGTGACTCAGGTTTAGGGGGAAAACATACAGACAAATAGACAGGTCTGAAACCTTAAAAAAATATATGCAAGAACTCCTTCTACCTCTTTCAGAGTACCTCTGCCAATATATTATTATGTTGCCAAGTTTAATCGGTTAGATAATTTAAAAAGCGAAAATGAGTTGTGATTGGTACGTTCAACTTCCCAGCGTAAACACCTGATTGGATAAAAAGCCAACCAAGGGAGGTAATAAAATCATCGGGCCGAGCCGTAGATGCATCCAGGGTATAGTGGAGTTTTTTCGGAATGTTTTCCCTGGAGATTATTGAGGATGACAAAAACCCTAACCATCCAAATCAATGATATCTGACAATTTGTCCTTATTACTAAGATATGTCGCAAAGAAGTTCAAGTAAACATTGGTAAGGAAACTCAAAAGATTTGGGGATAGACTAGTAAATTGTAACATATTGCAAAGGCTTTAACGATAATTCTTAATATTATTTGATTACCATTACAACAATCAGTCAAAATACAGGAAGATATGTAAGTAGTTTATTACAAATTAATGTCTGGTTGTCTAATGTCTGTATGTATTTCCTTCGTGATTGTAATGGAAGACATTCTACTATTTCTTACTGCCAGAGACTGGAACAAGGTGTAAAGAAAACATAATCATGATCATACCAAGGTTAGATATCAAACCTGGGTTTGAGTCAAGACTTGTAAATGAGTTCCCTGCTACATTATAAGTTTGTATGGTTTGTTTGTTGTATAATACCACACCCAGCAATATTCCAGATATATATGTGAGTAAATATTCAATTCTAGACCAGACGAATCCAGTGATTGATATAGTATGCAACAATCCATGCAGTCATGTATGATGACATACCAGTTACCATATCACTGGATCCGACAACTTTATCCATTTGGCCACCTCTAATGACCAGCATAGGTGGCTGGGGACCAATTCTAACCAGAATCTCCACTGGAAAACCCCATTAGGGCAAATACTCACCTTGAGTGTATGGCAGAATAACACTATGAGTTTCTTTATTTCCAGCATTAAGTTGGATACTTTACAAGATTTCTGAAATCACAAACAAAGCCATTGATCAACAAAGATTTTATATAAACACACACATCACAATTTGCTCAGCTGCTACTATTTAAAACATCACTATCCAAGACAAAACTATAGTCTGTCAACCCAACTTTTGGGAAAACATATCTTCCAAATAACACCAACTGACCACATGCCATTAACGTACCTCTTAATGATCCCCTTGGCGTAATAAGAAAAAATAGTTTTAACTTTGTTGGTCACTTGGGGAAAAAGTTACTTCAGTAACTATCATTAAAATTTCTGTTTGTTTTGGTGTCAAGAGATGTAGTGTAGTCGCAGTAAATGTAACAGCTTACAGGTTAGGTCAGAGCGTAATTCACAGAAATTTTAACGATAGTTACTTAAGTAATTTTCCCCGAAGTGATCAACAAAGTTAAAACTATTTTTTCTTATTACGTCAAAGGGGATCATTAAGATATGGAAGATATTTGACAAAAGTGGTGTCCCAAAAGTTGGGTTGACAGAATATAAAATACTCAAAATATTTCTGAAATATCAAGAATCATTTAGAAATGAACAATAGATTTCTTTTGGGCAAGTCATATCAAAGAAATGTTATAGGACACTAGAGTTATCTCCCTGGGAAAGGTTGTATTTCTTGCCATTAATAAAACAAAAGACAACTGTAAAATGAAATATTTGTTCTGCTACAAAAGAGAAATGCTGAAAATTAAACATTCATAAATGGAACATCGTCAAATCGTCCTGAAAGAGATTCTTGTCAAATTGTAGGCCTCTTAAAATCATAGATCACTAACACTGAATATGGGGCAAGGAAGGTAGTCAGTTACTTTAGATAAAGTTAAAAAGAATAAAAAGAAAAGAAATTCAATCACAGTAACTTAAAGGGTAGGAAATAAAGCAACACAAGTTTGAAATGTTTAATCATGTTAATGAAAATGGTAGAAATATTTTACTTCAAATAAATGAGTTAACTGCACCATAAATCCTAGTTTAATACATCAGTATTCAAGTTCATCATTAAAAGTCAGTCGATATTTCATCATGCTGTGAGTTTAAACATTCCCATGCTGGATTCCAGTATTTAAATACAAAGCAAGTAACAAGGTACAGATTCCAATATATATTACATGTAAATGGATATGGCCATCATGCCAGTTGGCAAGAGGGTTATCATCTCTCATTACATGCTTAAGAAAATGAATGTAATAGTCAATGTTATGTCTACTTATGTCATTATTTCTCTGTCTCTATTAATGCTCTGTTACTACTATCAAGTTGCACAAAACACTTTAAACTGTCTACTCAAATCAATTTCAACTCTAAACTGTTTCATGTAACTGTAGATATTCAAGCAATGTTTTGAAACCTGTTTTTCTGTTGGGTAACAACACACTCAAGCTATGTGATGGTGGTCTTAAACTTCTGGACCAGACAATCCAATGATGGACATAGTGATCAATGCATGATGTAAGGGGGCAATGAATCAACCAACGCATTCAACCTGACCACACGGTCCATTTGGTCATTTATTGCGACAAGCATATATTCTTAAAGCCTTCTATGTACAACACCTGATTAAGATCTATGAAATTTTAAAATATTTTCACAACGAACTTTATGACTTTGATCTTGTTCATATATAACTAACAATCAAGCAGACACCCTTATAGATTGTTTTATGTCACTAATACTACTTTACTCAATTTCATTATTTCTAACAATTTACATGTAAAGAGTATATATGTTTAAACCCAAATTTTGATTTATCATATTCAATTCATTTCTGATTTGTAACTTCTTCCGAGTAAATAGACAGGATCATAATTAAGAGACAAACCTACTGTGTTTTGAAATTTGAGATTATCAATTAAAACCAAATTTATATGCCTAAAGGAAGTATTTACTTAAGTCAAGGAAGAATCAGTGATTATCTATGAAAAAGTGAACATACACCGTTTGAACAAACTTGATCCGAGTTATGTTCAAATTAATCATGGTAACAGGTTAAGTTTAACCTATATTGTCAAAATAATTCAACAAACTCAAGAAATACCTCAACTGATTACTATTCAAACTTTCCTTGTGTATTCAGCATGCAATATATACATGTGGGGGGTTACATAATCTGAAGGTAGAATCTTCAAAATGCACAGTAACATTTGGTGTACTGAAGTTAGAAAGTACATGGTACAGGCAGTTAGTGGCAGTAACTGTAAGGGGTATATCAGTGTATACAGACATGTTAGAAGGAATATGTGTTTGTCGTTCAATGTCAGAATCCATCTTGTTAAGGCAACTCCTTAAGAGGTATACAAATAATTACATATTCTTAAAATGTATATTCTTGAGAAACCAAGAAGACAAATAAAACACCTGAATTTTCATGATTCAACGGTTGAATATCTGCAGAGATTAAACTGTATATTTATTGTGATACAACTCTTTTCAAGTCGTAATGAAAACTCACATGAATATTTATTTTGAGGAAAACTGTTAATTTGAAATTTACTTCATGAGTTTTGGGGTTTAAGCCGCTTTTAGTAAAGTTTTAGCAATGGTCCAGCCATATCTTGTCAGGGGACATCAGAAATAATTTACTTCATGAGGAAGCCCCCTTTAACAGATTTACTCTCAAATTCACAATGAGCGAGTGAAAGCATTGAACAGTCTTCATAGTCTACTCTACAGTTGTGCCTGAATTGTCAGGGTTCGACATCTATATTGTGTTCAGGTAGCCTACTGGATGAGTGCTACAAACAAAGTCAATTACAATGGAAATTGGTTTAAAATTTACAAAATATGAGATTAAAGTCTCATGTCTACTATAAAAATATCTCATAAATATTTATTCTTTTGCTGTCATGGTTAACACATGATTAATGACTTGAAAGAATTGACATATTTAATTATCAGGTCAATCGCCTCCATCAAAACAAAAAAATTAGCATTCTTGATAAATGTTAGCACACAATCGTCCAGAAAGCTTCCATTTTTCAAACCCTGACTTAGGCTCTAATATTATTTGTTACTGTTTCCTGAAAACAAACATGGATTCTGACATGAGATCTGTTGCTATGGAATTTGGTTGATACCTGTGCATTCCAGTGTTTTTGGTTGACAAGCTTTGCCTGTGCAGACAGACATACAGACACATACAGTAGGGACAGACAGAAAGACAATACCAAAGTACCTCCTGTTTACAAAAAGCGATGCTCCTCTCCTACAAACCCAAAAGGACATGTATTTGCCTGTAAAATGTCTATTGAAACAGCAACTTAATTATTTCCCTTTTTATTTATGTATAAAAACAATTGTATTGCTTATTATTAAAAGATATCTCTTGCTTCTTACTCATGAAATTTTATTTCTTGTTTTGCGTCACACTCGGTATTCTTCCAGCTATATGGAGAGAGCCTGTAACTTACTGAGGGAGTGAGTGAGTTTAGTTTTACGCCACACTCAGCAATATTCCAGCTATATGGAGAGAGCCTGTAACTTACTGAGGGAGTGAGTGAGTGAGTTCAGTTTTATGCCACACTCAGCAATATTTCAGCTATATGGCGGTGGTCTGTAAATAATCAAACCTGGACCAGACAATCCAGTGATCATGATGACGTCTCAACCAAGTCAGCGAGCCTGACCACCTGATCCCGTTAGTCTCCTCCTACGACAAGCATGGGTTGCTGAAGATCAATTCTAAGCTGGATCTTCACGGGTGTAAATAACTGAGTCTGGACCAGACAACCAGGTGATTAATGTTAAAAGCTTTGATCTACTCCATCAGGGTTCAAGTCTCCTACCAGCATGGAATGCTGGGGAACTATTCTACACAGTCACTTACAACCTGACCTCTAAATACTGGGGGATTCCTGTCCATGTATGGTCCATACTGTGACAATATTGATTGCCTTTGTGTATAAATTACAGACCCATAAACCTTGCTAACTATCACACTTAATATTACTTTTAAGGTTATGAAAAGGATGCTTAACTTAGTGTCAAACACAGAATAATCTTTAATAATTAGAGCCACCCTAAACCTGTTTCAGTTGTATGATAACTGGGTGTTGGGAGATTGTGACCCAAATTAGTAGCATCTATACAGTTATTTCTAAATGAATATTATATATTATTTTCCTGTTTATCTCAGTCATAATAGAATAGCTCCTTAAGATCTCAAATAAATCTCTTTCAAATGGCATGAGTGACTTCCTATATCAAAACATTTCCCATATAAAATCCAATCTGTTTATCAAATGTTGATTATTTTCACACAAGGGTTTAGTTGTTACTGATGATCAAGAGGTAGGTAATGCCCAACACACAAAATATAACAGATTAACACAAAACACAGACTGAAATAAAAATGGTACATGGAATGCGAAAAAACTGTTTTGTATTGGAAACAAGTACATTTTCATAATGTCCAGAGGCCAGATTTGCTGCACTGCATCAGTGCCATTATTTGTGTTGAATTCCAGGTTTCAGCTAAAGGAATTTCAATAAAACACATCAAATGATAACAGTTAATAGTCTGAACACAGTGAAATATCAAATTCTTTGTTTCGAAACAGTGGTCACCCTGGGCACAAGAACTTGTTTGCAACACAAACATGTAAACAAAGCATAAATCACATAAACAGGAGAAGTCAGAAAAATGAAGCAATTTCAAACATAACAATCCAACAAATGTAGTATTTCTTATATATCCCTAGTGATAAACATTCGCCACATAGGCCAACCTACAGCACTCAAGAAGCAGAATACGCAGTTGAAAGATTCGGCACAGTGTTACAATAGCAACAAGATTATGCAGAAAGATACGATACCATAAAAAAGGTACATATAAATTGCATCAGGAGTTCAACTTCAAACTATGCTGAGACAATGTATGTAGTTGTAATACACATAAGTTTACTTATACAGGTTGTAAATATGGTAACCATGGTAACATAAACTTATTGAATATTGTTTGAAAGTTTGTTGCTTTTGACAATCCCTTGTATTGGGAGTTTGATCGTAAATGTAAAGCCGATAAACGTAAGATCAATTTGCAATGATGAGACATTTTATGAAAAACTGACCATCTGAACAATTGAAGTCAACCCATCTTTCATGGCATTATCAAACAAGACTACTGACTAGTATCAGCAATTATCATGATCAGTTTTTTCCACAAAGTAAACAATACTTAATATCAAATATCTCTTTACAAAATGTGTAATCATCAACGTCAGAATAATTGCAGACATTTCAATAAGGAAGGAAGATACTACTCACAGCAGTTGATCTAAGGGTTGCTACAATCTTCTCTACAGCTTTCTCCCACAACTCATCCATATATGCTCTGTTCACCAGACCTTGGGACGTGTGTAAAATGTGATCTTCCACAACAAAAAACCTACAATAGTGATAAAACGTTACTGTAGCATCAAGCAAAGCATTGGATAAATAGACAGTCCATGTAAATATCTGTCATAGAGTTTTATAGTACTAACATCATGCAAGTCATCACATCAATTGTTATAAAACTTCTTCAAATCAATTATCAAGTCATAACTACTACATTTTCATTTTGGATAATCATTCACTGTCACATCTCAGATAATAAAATTGACCACAATGACTTGACGATACCAACATATCCAACAAATGGCTACTGAAACTTACCCTACAATATCATGGAAATATTTTCGGTAAGCATCTGCACTTTCATGCTGAAATTGAAATAATTTTGACTCAGTATTCATGGTATTTGCTTGGTCATACTTTTCTCAAGTGAGTGAGTGAATAGTGATTCATGCTACACCAGCAACTTGTAGAAGTGAGTGAGTTTAGTTTTATTCTACTTTTAGCAATATTCTGGCAATATCACGGAGGAACACCAGAAATGAGCAACTTGTAGAAATCTTAGTTAACAGATACAAGTAGTAGTAAGTGAGTGAGTTTACTTTTACGCCGGACTCAGCAATATTCCAGCTACATGGCGACGGTCTGTAAATAATCGAGTCTGGACCAGAGGTGAGGTGAAATTGGGTTTAATGTCGTGCTTGAAAAAAATTCGCTCATATGACGACGTGCATGCATGTCTGTGGGTATGTGCAGCTGCTTGTACTAGTCCAGACTTAGGCTGGTTTTATAGTGCTAGCCCACTGAGATACCATGCCGCAGTGAAGCATGAATACCCCACTCAGACATATTATACTGACTCCGAGCCGACTAGTCCTTGTTGTACCCATTAATGCCGAGCGCCAGGCAGGGACCAACAAGTACCATATTTTAACGTCTTTTGGTATGACGCGGTCGGGGATCGACCCAGCGACCTTCCGCTCTCCGGGCCCACGCTCTAACCACTACACCACAGTGGTGGTCGTCTGGACCAGACAATCCAGTGATCAACAAGATACAAGTAGTAGCTCGTACTTGTTTGATGAAATGATTTTCAGCATTTAAAATGGAAGAACTGATTGCTGTTTGATGCCACAATCAGCAACATTCCAGACATATAACAGGATTGAAGTAATGGAGTTTGAACCATATAATGCTGTGATTTCCATCATGATCATAGATCTCAACAATAGGTTTGTTTTGTTTGTTGTTTAACACAGCACTTAGGAATTTTTCAGCTATATGGTGGCAGTCTGTAAATAATCAAGTCTGGACCAGACAATCAAGTCATCAATGTCATCATGATGACGTGTCAACCAAGTCAGCGAACCTGACCACCCGATCCCGTTAGTCACCTCTTACGTCAAACATGGGTTGCTAAAGACCAATTCTAACCCTGATCTTCAAATTCGGACCCCATGACATACATCATCCAGCTCAGTGAGTTTGGCCACACAATGCCTCTTAAAATAGTTTGTAAAAAATCTGTCATTACTGTAAAATAATATTGTGCCCTGGTATCCCCACATTTGTTGTGACACACATGAGTATCTTACCATGGCTGCTGGTGGTTGGAGGGACAGTCTGGCTTGCTTCCATCTCTGTTGTCGGTAATAGGTCTCAAACTTCTCCTTATCACCCTGCACACAGGAATGACAGGAATAACGTCACTGGCTTAATACAAGATTTCAAAAATGAGGTCGGTTACTTGTATTACAGTGAATTAGAACTGAAACCAAAACCTACTGACATTGATTAAGAAAGAAGTAGTTTCCTACAAATATTTTGAGCTCCTCTGGTGATCATGATGATGCTATTTTAATCTGGTGGGTATAACGATATGAGACCTCAGATTACCCCCATCAGTTTCTATTATTTGTATTAATCATTGCAAATGACATATTACAATATTCGATGAAGACAAATTTTTCATATATAATGCACACCATGAAGAGTGCCTTTTAGCTATGATGACAGATTGAGAGTGAGCGAGTGAGCATGATTTTACGCTACTTTTGTTTTAGCAATATTCCAGCAATATCACAGCGGGGGACACCCATTGGGCTTCCGGATTGTACCCATGTGGGGAATCGAACCTGGGTCTTCGGCGTGACAAGTGAACACTTTAACCACGAGGCTACCCCACCGTCCCCATAGATTGAGAGCATGGGGAAGTAGGCTACAAAGCGTGACACATAATCATGACAGAAAAATTCTTGTAATGGTGGGAATGAACACTGCCATATGTCACTCAAATAAAAAAATCTGGCATTTACCATGCTTTCCTCTACATATTTATCAATAATTGAACTATAATATCTTCGGCAAAAGATAATATCAAGTAATACATACCAGGACAGAATAAATATGTAGACAACGGTAAACTGGTGAGAAATCCACGAGATCTTGAGCACTCAATTCCTGAAAGTCACAGTAAGTTCACATAATGACATTTCACGCATCTCATACACATAAAAATTTAACATAGCTAATTGTTTTACTGCTTTAAAACAGATTTCATAATAATCATGATAGCATGTATGTGTTTTTCATTCTAAATAATCATTAGTTCTATTTTTCTAAACTAAGGTCTAATGCTCAGTATCAAATTGAATAAACCAAGGACTGGTTGTCATGAAGTAACAATACTGTACAAGTCAGGCATCCATGTGTAACTGTTGCAGGCTGGCACTGAATAGCCAATGTTGTTTGTCTGAGTTATGTATTCATGTTGAAGTTGGGCAAGGTATCTCAGCTATCTGTTACTACAAACCCTACATTAGTCGGTACTAACACAGTGTGCACACACACAATGGCTAATGCCAAAAACCTCTGGACTTTCAGGGATGAGAGTGAGAGAGTTTAGTTTTACGCCGCACTCAGCAATATTTCAGCTATATGGCGGCGGTCTGTAAATAATCGAGTCTGGATCAGACAATCCAGTGATCAACAGCATGAGTATAGATATACGCAATTGGGATACGATGACATGTGTCAACCAAGTCAGCGAGCCTGACCACCCGATCCCGCTAGTCGCCTCTTATGACAAGCATGGGTTACTGAAGATCAATTATAACCCGGATCTTCACGGGTTCTGGTCGTTCACATATAATTTCAATCACTGGGTTACCAAACATTGACATTCTGATACAACAATAAAACCTGACCTCTTCTCCCTCCAATGAGTCTTCTCTCACAACCTCAGGCATAGCTTCCACTTCTCCAGAAAATGGGTTAGGTGGCGGCGGTGCTCGCCGCTTCTTCAGCTTCTTCTTCACTATTGTTGGATCCATGTTGTTTTGCTCAGCTGCCTGTCAAGGTAATGACAAGGTGAGACTTTGTGACAGCCCAGTCTGTGATCTTAGCCTCTAGTCTGAAGCTTGAGTCTAGTAACATCTGTTTGGTCTAGTAAGCTTAACTAATAATATTAATAATCAATATAATAACATTAACATGCTAATTAATTACTTAAAAAGTACTATTCCTTAAAGGTTTTCACATAATATGCAGTCATATTGAACATCTCACTGGGATGCTTGGAGATGTTGATTTTTTTACAAATCCTGATTTTCACAAACTAACATGTTTTTTCTAATTTGTCAGTCATAGGCATTTAGTTTGAAATCCTAGATAAATCTCTTCTCCATGCGTACAAAAAGTTCACCATTCTTACATGTGTCATTGCCACTTCTCCTATTTTCTCTGAGTGTTTCCGGATGCTCTCCAGGAAGTCCTTGAGCTCGGACATGGATGCCTCCTTTATTTTCTCCCTCAGCTTGGGAATGGCTTCTGACATGGTCTGTGAGAACCAGTGGCTGATGACTCGGGGAAGGTAGGTGTGCTCCAGCTGTTCCAAGGTCTTCAGGGCAGGGTAGAACCTGGCAGGATGAGTGAATGAGTTTAGTTTTACGCTGACTTTTAGCAATATTCCAGCAATATTTTGACAATGGACACCAGAAATTGGCTTTACACATTGTACCTCCGTGGGGAATTGAACCCGGGTCTTCGGGTGTGAGGGCGAATGCTTTAACCACTAGACTACCCAATGGCCCCTCTGCCAGGATGAGAAGGTTCTTAAATGCTTCAGTCAGCAATATTCAAGTCAAATTACAGCAGTGTTCACGAATGGTGTTTCAAAGTCACAGGACATTGGGTCCTGTAAGTTTCAGATGTCTGTCTGACCCATTGAAAATGCACAGGACCCATTGAATAAAATTAAACACACATTTCAGATTTAATATTTCTTATAATTGACATTGAAATTATTAACAAACATAAGATTTATAAACAGCAAACAAGTGTCACATGTCACATAAAACAACTTCAGTCAAAGTCATTGTGAAATATACAGTCAGACACTGGGGCCGGCAGGTTGTAGACTTCTGTCTGACCGTTGGCAAATCTGCCGGATTTGTCAGAGGGTCAGACGCTATTCGTGAACACTGATTACAGTGGCCTGTTAATTTTAGTCTGGTGTTCAATACCATTCTCAGAAATATTCCTTGAATTCAATGCCAGTTTGTAAAAAGATCACGTCAAATAATCCACTGATTTAAACTCATAAGCACCGTTCTCCACATGAGACACATCACACATCAAACAAGTCAGCCTTCATGGCCACATCATCTAATGTCACCTCTTCACAATGAGCATGGGTTTTAAACTTGATCTTCAAGGGGTGTAAATTGAAAAAGTGAGGGAGTGAGTGAGTGAGTTTAGTTTTACGCTGCACTCAGCAATATTCCAGCTATATGGCGGCGGTCTGTAAATAATTGAGTCTGGACCAGATCAACAGTGATCAACATAATGAGCATTGATCTACGCAATTGAGATATGATGACATGTGTCAACCAAGTCAGCGAAACTGACCACTCCATCCCGTTAATCGCCTCTTATGACAAGCTTGGGTTACTGAAAATCAATTCTAACCCAGATCTTCACGGGTCTTTGAAAACATGAAAAATTGCCCACGTCAATTATAGTCAACAGTAGATGATGGCATACAAATTGCAATCTGCTACCACTCCAGATACACTCAGTATCAGCAAAATATTAAATCACTTGAAAATCAAGAACACCACATCATCATATTGAGACCCTAACGTGAAAAGAGACAGGCATGGGTCTGGATGTTGAATAAGTTAATGGAGGGAGAACATAAACGAAATTACAAAGTGGATCCTACCTTCTGTTTTTCATCTGTTCTTGAAGCTTGCCATACAGTTCCAGCACTGAAAAAATCAACCAAGTCTGATTAATCAGAAACTTTGATTCTAAACAATGTGCCATGAAAATGAAATAAACAAGACATATGCACATTTATGTAATAAATTATGTCTGCACATATGCTGAATCAGTGCCAGTTATTACTTGGCTGGACTTAGGATATTAAAGTTCTGTATTGTTAGATCTGCATGTCACTCATTAGCCAAAAAATGCAAATATTATTTTAAATGTGAAGAAAACTAAAATAATTATGTCTAGTTAACCAATTCAGCTTGACAGCTTTGATGCATGAGAACATGCTGAACTAATCTGGCATGTAGTACCAGTAATTGGTGGTGGCTATTTCATATCTGACTTCCCTCCTTGGGATGAAAGTTTCCCATTAAGCTTTCATCTTCACATGACGCACAATAATCAAGGCTATGATCATTAATCATTTCATGTAGATGTTTTTTCTCAAAATCAGCAGGGTCAGTAGTTCAAGAAATACCAGTGCACATTGTAGAAATATAACATTTTCAAACATGATCGCTGGCAAGAAAATTGTCAGGTGAAAATGGAGAAACGTTATTTTCATATATCATGTATATTATCACCATTATTATGATTATTCATCATGCCCACATCAAAGTAATTTCATTCTTTCATCCGTGAAATTAGTTATGGCCATCATGAATGTAAATACATTAACATTACTCCACATATGCATAATCTTAAATCAGGCAACTTAAGTTGCATACTCCCCAGGGTGCTGAGAATCAAACTGACGGCGTAATAATCATGTATAATAATGTATAGCCATGAACATTAATATACTGAAATGAAGCTTGAAAAAAACACACCAAATAACAAATCATGAATTAATCTTGCATTAATTTTGACCACTAAGAAATAGTGGTGTTTTGATTGATTGAAATAATCGAAGATTGGTCGCAGTTACTAAACGACCAAGCAATTGATAATGTTTTCTCACAATCGAACATAAACAGTTTTGGAACACCTGTTTGTTTGGTCTGTGTCGTGAAATTTACATTTCATAAGCACTACAAGCTCGTTCCAAGTCATGAATGAATTTATCATAAAGTCTCCAGGAAGTCATATTCTTAACATATTAGTCGTCATTTAAAGATGCAAGCTGCATCATTTTAAGTTGGATGTGAAATGTGCAAATGCATCTTTTTCTTTATTTTTATGTGCATTAACAACCATAACAGGAAAATTTGTTCAATGGCACTGACCAATTATTTTCAATGATTGAACAGTTTTAATGAACCAATCAATCATCAATTATGAGTTGGTAGGTTGGTAGGTTGGTTGTTGTTTAAAGGCACTATATCACACCACACTTCTCTAAAAATAGATATTGCATTTCCTTCAATAATACTAACTATCAGCCCTCAGGGAAGCTACCATATTATATAATTAATTTAATTATTTTTTTGTACATGTATTAAGATTACAATATCAAACTAAAAAGTTAGAATGAATTAATGCAAAGTTGCATTAAATCGACTCTCACACCCTCTACAGGCCAAACATTTTTCAAGTAAACCCTATAGAGTTTTGTCCCTTGGAGCGCTCTTTACGAATATCCTTGACACAACTTCGAGATTGAAAACAGTTTGGCAAACAACAACACCCCCTGCGACAGTTTTTAATGTACGGAGCAATTGTTTACATTCCATAAATGGCAAGTGTTCCCTGTTTGCCTCGAAGTTTCAATTATTGATTTCAGGCAAGTCGTAAGGGATAAGTCTCTTATTGCATGTAAAAAATCGAACTAACCTGTAGAGGTTTCAGATTCTTTGAATATATTCCTCCTTGGGGTCCTTATAAGCATTTAAATGTCCATTTAAAATCCCTACGACAGTTGTAACAATATTTGAATAAAAATATTTACAAAACAAAAACTACATTTTGTCTTGTGAGACCACCCTTACAGGGCCCTCCGGCCCCCTACAGCCAAGAGCAGGTAACTCTAGACCGTAACCTCGTACCTCACTTTCCATGCTGAACGACGTCAGACAGAATGTGGGGAGGTGGGCGGGCGTACCCCAAGGAGGAATATATTCAAAGAATCTGAAACCTCTACAGGTTAGTTCGATTCTTTTTTATATATTCCTCCTTGGGGTACTTATAAGCATAAGACAGACTCCTAAAGACGGAGCTAAGGAGTGGCATTCTGTCTGCAGAAACCCCCCCCGACAAGAAGTGGAATTTCCCAAGCTAAATATAGCAGAAAAAGCTCACTTACCCGGTCACGTGTCCACCATAGCCAATCAGGCGGGGGCATGAGCCAGGGTCAGGGTCGAACATATTACAATTGCCCAGCGAAACCTCGCTAATGCAAACAAAAGAGATAAACCCTCCCTCCCTCCCGTAATCAATCGGAAGCGAAGATAAGGGGTCCCGCAATAAGCCGCCAGAAACAAAATGCCTTAATATATATATTAAGCAAAGTTTCCAAGGCCAGTAAGTCTAGAGCAGAATGCAAAAGACATGGGAATAAAAACTATCACCACATAAAACCCGTCACCAAGGGGATATGTAAACCAGATTTTAAAACCCAACACCAGTGTTAAAAAATCGGCATATAATGGTTCACATAATAAAATCCTCGAAAGCTCAATCGGCTAGAGAGGTGGAACCATGCCCACTGGAGAGAACTGACTGACCGAACCGAGCACGCTCACTGGAGAGTCTGTCAAGTTGGTAATGACGGATGAATGCACACTCGGACGGCTCCAAATAGCCGCGGAGCAGATCTCCTCAATGGGCAGGGCTGCAGCGTAAGCTTTCGATGTAGCAACTGCCCTAACCGAATGAGCTTTCAACCCTACAGGCGGGATACATAGCTCAGAGACAAGCCACCGAGAAATGGTTTGCTTGGTCGCCGGAAGACCAGCCTGAACCCCGCCATAACAACAAAACAATTGGTTACCCTTCCGGGTACCCCTTGTTCGTTTGATGTAAGCCTTAAGGGTCTTACGGACATCTAAGACGTGAGCACGTCGTAGGGAGGTACCGGTCAGGGAAGGCTGAGTGAAAGCTGGGAGCTCAATAGGCGCCGTCACATGGAAGGGACTATCCTTCTTAGGACGGTAAGTATCAGGCAGCCGTATGCTAACTCTGTCTTTGTGAAAAACAGTAAGAGCGGGATCGGCCGACATTGCGTGAATATCCCCAACCCGCCTGCCTGAAGTCACCGCCACAAGAAACGCTGTCTTCCACGTCAACAGCTGGAGTGAAAGAGCCGACAGATTGTGAAACAGTGGACCGGACAGCCAATCAAGAACGATTGACAAGTCCCACGGGGGACTAATCCGCCGGACAACCGGACGGATTCTGTCCACGCCTGCTAAAAAGCGCTGTACAAGAGGGTGCTGCCCCAAGAGAGCACCGTCAACAGGAATATGAAACGCAGAAATAGCCGTAGAATATCCTCGAACAGTTGAAGCCGCTAGACAGGCATCCAACCGAGACTGGAGGAAGTCTAAAACAGAGACTAAATCTGTAGAAAAGGGATCAAGAATCCCCCTGTTGACACACCAGCGCGAATAACAGGCCCATCTATCCTCATATTGAACGTTTGTCGAATCCCTCCGCGGAGCCAGAATTGTGTCTGCAACTGGTGCAGGAATTCCGCTCGCACGGAGGCGATCCCTGACAGCGGCCAAGCCTCATACTCCTGAGAGACCGCCGAGGATACACCAGAGGCTGAACAAGAAAGACTCAAAAGGTCGAGAGGTGCCAGAGGGAATGAGTCGCCCTGCCAGGTGGAACCCACGCCAGGTCGCTGAGGCGCCCGAGAGGAACCTGCCGCGACAGGTTTCCCAGGCAACCCAGACTGGCTGCCAGGCGCCGAGGTATCCCCGAGCTGGTCGGCGCCTAGGCGACTGCCAGTCAGGGCACCAGGCGAAGACAGGTGTAACCCTGCATCGCCGGCGCCAGGCGCCTATGATGGACCTGAGCGTGAAGCTAGGTCGCCACAAGGCGCCGAGGGCGCGCTATCCCCACGGCCTAAGCCGGGATCAACTGCCCCGGGGGCGTTCTCCGAAGTCTGGGCTCGGCCGCATTAACCCCCAGATGTGTCCGATCCACCCCCGACGACTGGCGCGCCGAGCTCCTGACGGAACCCAGCCAACGCCGTATCGATCAGGGATTTCACTGACGACATCTGTTCCTGAAAAAGAGCAGTTAATGATTTTAGGCGTGAAAATCTCACACGCCGGACACCCCTCTTCTTCATGATCAGTCTGCATGAGACATCTCAAACACACCTCGTGCGTATCCCTCACGGGAATGGCAGCGAGGCACGAAGTACAGGATTTAAACTGCAACAAGTAAAAACCTGTGCAGCAATCTACCCCCATACATACATACATATATGAAAAAACACGCATTGGCGACACAACTAATGCGACAAACGTAGCATGCAGTTGACAATAACAAGCAATACGCACTGCAACATAACTAACAATTACGACTTTTAGCGTAAGATAGAAATGCCAGCAGCGGAAACAACGCCCTACATGTAACAACATATAAATAAAAATTACTATAACCACACGTAACATTGAAAAACCACATGGGAAGCCAATGAACAGTGAGGCTAGCGAAGGGACCTGTCCGCCATCTTGACACGCACTCGGCGAGCCGACCGCGACAGGTACCAAGTTACAACTAGAAATTATGAATGAAAAAGTTCAGAACAAGTCTCCAAATCGCCCATGCAGGGAAAAAAGAGAACCATACATACAGTAGCTGTTTCTGAGACACTCATATTCGTGTTGGGAAATTTAAAACTTCTTGGAAGTGGACCCACGTCTTGCCAGTAAACGACAGCATGGAAAGTGAGGTACGAGGTTACTGTCTAGAGTTACCTGCTCTTGGCTGTAGGGGGCCGGAGGGCCCTGTCAGGGTGGTCTCACAAGACAAAACGTAGTTTTTGTTTTGTAAATATTTTTATTCAAATATTGTTACAACTGTCGTAGGGATTTTAAATGGACATTTAAATGCTTATAAGTACCCCAAGGAGGAATATATAAAAAAGAATGTGTGACATTGTGCCTTTAATGCTGCACTCAGCAGTATTCCAGCTATATGGCTGTGGTCTGTAAATAATCGAGTCTGACCAGACAATCTAGTGATCAACTGCATGAGCATCGATCTACGCAATTGGGATACGATGACATGTGTCAATGAAGTCACCCGATCCTTTTAGTCGCCTCTTACGACAAGCATGGTTTACTGACAATCAATTCTAACCCGGATCTTCACTGGTCTGTGGCACAAGAGTGATGAACCTATCTGCACAGTGACCATGGTGACCACTGCAACACAGCACTAACCAAGCACAAACAACAAAGTATCATGACTAACCCATGCAACTGGGCTTACTTTTCAAAGACCATGAAGAAAATCATGAATATATCGTCTGCTGAACAATACAGTATTTTACAGTAGATTTAAAGACAAGAACCACAGCTAACACCTACATTACCTAACAGAAACTTCAAATCTGTGTGAAATATAACTGTGATTTTGTATTTACATAACTATGATTATCAAATAAGAAAGACGAAATCCGGAATACAAGCAATAAGCCCTGCCCACTTTAGACACAGTAATCACAAGAATGCGGTACTTCCTGTAGATAATTAGGCCACTGCAACACGAGTCACTCGGGCAGTTTCCTGAACATTTCTTATCTAAAACATTTCAGCCACTTCCAGCAGTGTGTGTGAAAACCAACTACAGGAACACATTTCAAAATGTTTCAGCATATTCTACAAGTCCTTCCCATGTCAGTTTGAATTGTTTGAAATGCAGGCTGTAGAATGCCATTTTGACAATTGTGCCTAAAGTACAAACAGCCTGTCAGATTTTAGTCAGAGTGAATGAGTGTATTTAGTTTTATGCCACACTCAGCATTATTCCATCTATATGGCAGCGGTCTATGAATAATCGAGTCTGGACCTGACAATCCAGTGATCAACAGCATGAGCACCGATCTTTTGTCAACCAAGTCAGCGAGCCTGACCACCAGATCCAGTTAGTCGTCTTTTACAACAAGCATGGGTTGCTGAAGATCAATTCTAACCTGGATCTTCACGGGACAATATTAGTCAGAATCAAGATGACAAATATTGTGATAATATAGTAGTAACCATGATAATTGTGAATACAAATTATTTTAAAAGAACAGCACAATGTGCCTCAGTAAAAGTCTATATTTTCATAAGATCTGGCCTTACTTTGCTCCAACAAATCTGTGTCAACTCAAGATAAAATATTCTTTTAGAGAACATCAAACAAACTTGATCTGAAATTGTACAAAGAGATCCGACTGTCCTACCTGGCAGGCACATGGAGAGATTTTCTATGGCAGCTGTGATATTCTTTTGAATCTTGCGGCTCTTGACCAGCTCATCACCTTTAGCCAGGAGGGGGTCACATGACTTTTGAAGCTCACTATCCACACCACTGATCTCATCCTGGCATTCAAATAATCATATTTCATTAAAACAAATATCATTGCAGCTTCAACTTCAACAACAACAGCAACAACAACTACTACTACTTCTATGTTGGTATTTTGGGCCTCACATTCTGTCCAGTGTCCATTCTGATGACTTTAACATTTTACTTTATATTACTATGATCATATATTATAATGATGTTGATATTGTAACAACAACAACAACAACAACTACTACTACTACTTTGTTGGTATTTTCGGCCTCACATTTTGTCCAGTGTCCATTCTGAGGACTTTAACATTTTACTTTGATTATTACTATGATCCTATATCATAATGATGTTGATATTTGTCAATGTCAGTTTGTCACATTAGCCATTGGCTGGTTGTTTTGGATAAAGTGAGTGAGTTCAGTTTTAAGACGCTTTCAGCAGTATTCCAGCAATATCAAGGCAGGGGACACAGGAAATGGGCTTCACACATTGTACCCATATTAGGAATCGAACCCGGGTCTTCTGTGATGAGCAAACACCTTAACCACTAGGCTAACAAATAAAGAATCCTGTCAATATTACCTTCAGCTTGGCAGCATCACCACTGACTTGCTGTAGTTCTCTGATCGAGTCAATAAACCCCTGATAGTGGTAGTTGCACATTCGCTCAATCTCACGGTCATGACTCTTGATTCGAGTATCCAAAGTCTCCTGGAACTTGCCCAATTCGTCGCCATCATAAACAGCTCTGCAAGAAACGGATATATGCAAGCATGGCAAGAGCAGGGAATATTTCACCTGTAATTTGTAAAAACACAGAATTGGTCAGGAAACAGGTTATGATGATCCTGCATTATCAGAGTATATCTGATCTTGTACCCTGGCCAATCAAAGCAGCAACAAATGCAATATGAAAGTTGAGAAATGTTTAATAAACTGAGCCAGTGGAAACCTGGAGGAAATATTTACAAGTTACTTTTGTAATCTGGACAGATGGAGACAATTCCATCATAGAAGAGTGAGTGAGTGAGTGAGTTTAGATTTATGCCGCTTTTAGAAATATTCCAGCAATATCTCGGCAGGGGACACCAGAAATGGGCTTCTCACATTGTACCCATGTGGGGAATCCTATCATAGAAGAAATGAGTGCAACTGAAAATATCTCCGTTTTTACACATCATGCTTATGCAGACCATGAAGTCTGAGACTGGTATTGCCTACATAACTCAGTGATAATAAGGGAGTGAGTCAGTTTAGTTTTATGAGGCTTATAGCAATATTCCAGCAATACCACCAGGGGACACCAGAAATGGGCTTCACAAATTGTATCCATTTGGGACTTTTCGGTGATACTACTACATGTATTTAGACTTGTGGGGTCTCCAGGTGGAATTGGCCACTAGAAATCTATGCTGGTCATTAGAAGCAACTGAAATGGGATGGTCGACTGCATGATATTGTGTCAAGAATGTGTTGGAACTTACTTATATTTTCTTTTGATTCAAACATGAATTGGAATCTTGCGTTATGCTGACACTTAATGTATCAGGTGGTCAGACTCAGTGACTGGTTGATTGCATGTCCTTGTATGACCTGATCAGTGCTCTCAATATCTATCACTGGGCCAGAAATATGTACAGACTGCCATCATAATTTTGCCTAGAATATTACTCTGCTCGGCATTTAACAGCAAACCTAATGGCAGGAAACAGCATTAGGATTAGACACTGTTAATGCTATCAGTACCAATACTATTATGCAGGTTGTGATGTTAACAACCAGTTCAAAAAGCCCCACTATGGTAAATGACTGTTCGGTTCTGTGAGCTCTGCTACTCCTAGTAGTGATACATATTATCATCATTATCATGATTGAAATTAACCAAGAACACCTCTAAGCCAGAATAGTGATAGCATAATAGAATAGGGCTGCAATGAGTACACTATGAGATGAATGTGATATATGTATCATGAATAAAGGGTAACGAATATACATATAAAGATATAGATTCGCAAGCAGTTGATGTATTACTTATCATTTTAAGTGACACAATAATAAATAAATTTTGACATAAGTCTGACCATGTTGACATTGTTACAACTTACACAACTAGCTTATAGCCCAATGTTTTGATTGACAGGTCAGTACTCGTCCATAGCATGGTGACACAAGTTACCCTACTGTGTGGCTTGTATTTTGTCCCATTTTGAAAATATATCGCTCTGATAAATAACAAACAACGTGAAGCATAAAACACTTTTTCCCTCAACAATTTAGGAATATCCGATTCCTATGATCACGAATTATGAATTAAATTCATGAAAGGATATGATTTGATATGATTTCACTTTGATATGAAGTGAATCATTAAAGCCCTAAATAGCAATACCATACAAAATAATTGAAATTCTACTTGCCGTTAGCTAACCGTCAACATTAACAAACCTGGTCCAGGCTACTGCTAATTTCCTTCCTTGGATCTATTGAAAATGACACTAAGAGCGATATTAGGGCTGGTTGTCTTTGGAATATGGCACCTGCATGTAGATTTACATATGGGGAAACAGGGATTCTTATGATAAAGATATTGTGGCAGTGAATTGTGGAGAATGGGTGGGGTGAGAAATTGACACTATGTAGACTAGGGTAATAACAAGCAACTGGTGTAAACAACACCCCCTTTTTATTTCCTCTTTGAAAGGATGTGCAGGCAGAAGTTGGTATCCATCCTGTTATTTTTCTAATATACTGGTTAGGAACTTAATATTGCACAAACTAGATTCGAACGCTGGTTGTGCACACGCTTATTACTATGAAATGACCTAACTCTGTTTAGCAATCTTATCACTCTATGACAGATTTCGACAACTGTTTTCATCTTTCCATCTATAGCACAAGTCTCACATTTTAACTCGGGGTCAAGTCCGAAGATATGGTCAGTTTAAATTATACATCCACGAGCTATGAACATAATGAGAACGCACTGTCAAGGTGTAACATGATAAATATTTCTGATGTCAGTGATAGATGAAGCGAGGTGCCCGGCGAAGTTGGCAGGTGTTTACCTCAGAGTTGTGGCCAGGGGTCCGTCTGAGGTCTCAATTTCTGTAATCAAGTGATCATGCTGAGCGCTAACAGCCTCTTGCCTCAACGTATTGGCATCCTGAACGGTATCGTGGAGCTTTTTCCAAGCTGCAATCTTCGCAGTTTTGCGGGGTGTACTAGCTTCCGCCATCATCCCATTGCGATTGCGCATGCGCATTCCAATACTTATTGCAGACGATAAGTTATTCGTCGTTGTTCAGACGTCGTTTCGTATTCTGCAGGTGCACATTTTCAGTTATTGTTGTACGATATCGAAGTACATCAACACAGAGACCATGATCAACACAGGTAATATTTGTCTGAATTACATATTGCCCCGAGTAAGACATGTTCATATATCTAGAGATGCATAGAAACAATTATTTTATCATGAAATGACATTAATTTAGACTCTCATTACTTCATAAAATTATAAATGTCCATAGAGACAGTTTGAGTGATTGAGTGAGTGAACATTGCTTGACGCCGCATCAACAATTTTGTAGCTATTCGGCGAGTGAGGGTTTGAATTGAAATCAAGTGTATAGAGTGAACACTGGTGCGGCTGAGCTCTGCAGATCAGATAGATTTCATTTATGTCAAGTGATTACTGAACACTAAACGTGTTAAAGAAAAACGTCATAGTAAATATTTAATTAGATTTGAACATATATTAATTTAGAAACATTTAATCAAATACGTTATTCACAGTACTACAAATACCTAACCATGTTTCTTCACTTTCAAGCTTATTGCGCTTATGTGACGTATGTGAGTGAGTGAGTATGGTTTTACGCCGCTTTTAGTAATACTCCAGCAATATTAAGACGGGGGACTCCAGAAATGGGATTCACACATTGTCCCATGTGGGAAATCGAACCCGGGTCTTCGGCGTGACGAGCGAACGCGTATGTGAGCCACGGCACATATGTGTACGTACGCCTACGCGCGTGTGTTTTTGCTGCCGGTACTAGTCCGGACACGTGTCAGGACATGCCATGCCGTTATTTGATACCCAAGTCTGACACTGTATACGCTCTAGGACGACCAGCCTTTGTTTTATTCCCTTCATGTCAGAACGCCAGGCGGGGTAACAACAAGTAGCGACTTTTAACGTCTTCTGGTGTGGTGTGACATGGCGGGGGATTCTACCACCGGCTTTAAAAATCCGCTTTCGACATTTTGACAGTATAAAGTGCAAGTGGCTTGATCCTTTATGCATAAGTATGTATTTAACGTTGTATAGTCGGTCCTTGATTGGGGAACTCACTCTTAGCTTGCATCATAAGTATCACTATGGATGCTGCAACAGCTACTCCAATGGAATGGATCAAGGCTCTTACTGTTGACTTGTATCCATGGTAACAGGCTCGATTACATTAAAATCTCATTGATTCACTGCTGTATTACTGAAGTGAAGGACAAGGTAAGATTAGGCTCCAATGTGTCCACTTGAAAAGTGGGTGAGTTGGGTTTTACGCCGCTTTTAGCAATATTCCAGCAATATCACGGCAGGGGAACACCAGAAATGGGCTTCACACATATAGTCACCTTGTGGGGAATCGAACCAGGGGCTTCGGCGTGACGAGCGAACGCTTTAACCACTAGGCTACCACACCGCCCCAGTTGAAAAGTAGATTATATGGTTGCGGTATACTTTCGGATCATAATTATTAGTCGTGTTCCAATAGCTGAGACATGGCGTGTTTTTACTCTTGCAAGTTTCAGTCTTCTGACTTTGGCTAAAATGGGTTAAATGGCCGATTTTTCGAACTTCTGGAGAATATCCAGGTATGAGCAAGTCCCGAGATGAATCTTAAATCCTATACTTACTGGTTATATCTAAATGACCCGAGGAAAACAGCTTGGGTCAGAGACTTGTTCATGATCAAGTACCAGAAAAATGCTTCTGGAAAATCTCTAAATTCAGATTTCTTGACCCATGTTAGTATTGTATGAGAATATTGTATTGTTATACGTCCTATACACGCAATAGCTGAAATGCACGGAGCCCTGTTCTCATTCGTACGAACACATCTGACAACTTTCAAAAGTACTCGTTTTCAAAGTGACAAATTTATGTCGGTTGCAATCGCGTAGGAAAAGAAATGACCCTAATTAAACCCACTCACTCACTGACGCTCTCACAAACTAACTCACTCGTGTTTGTATTAGACGGGATGTCGGATGGAACCTAGACTTGCACAAGTCTCTAAGGTAAAAATTAATAGTTTAAATGATAATGTCCAAAGAATGATAAATAACAAACTGGGGTCTGTACTGTCCGCTTATCTAGATTTGCCTCTTCGAAGCATAGAATTACTGTACATCCATGGGATCAGCATTCAGTACAGCCTTGGAGCAAGGCTAGATGAAACCCATTGTGATAAAATGCCTTGGCTCTCATTCTCCGTGAGGATTTCAAGGCACGATAAGTAAAGTCGTACTTGTCAGAAAAGCTAATTAATGAGGATCGGGTGGTTAAAATGTCATCGTGACCCTGGGATGTGAGACCGCTGTTTCTCTAAGTGATAGGGCGGTGGGTAGCCTAGTGGTTAAAGTGTCTGCTCGTCACGCTGAAGACCCGGGTTCGATTCCCCACATGGGTACAATGTGTGAAGCCCATTTCTGGTGTTCCCCTTTGTGATATTGCTGCATGGAATATCGTTAAATGCGGCGTAAAACCATACTCACTCACTCTACGTGATAGCGCGAACAAGTTACGATGACGTGATTCATAACCTGACAAACTTTACAAAACTCAAGCTGATGCTCGTCAATATTACTGTAACGAAATAAACCCATCATAGTGAGAGAGTTCAGTCCAGCGTCGTGACGAACTGACGAACAGCATGTCGGCTACAACACTCAAAATGGAAGTCAAGTGCACCATATTTTCCAAATGGTTATCTGTAAAAGCCGGTGGATATTGCAATATATAGCTGTGGAGAGCCCACGCAGTATTATCATGGCGAACTTTGAGTTCGAGAACAGCACATCCTGAGAGATTGGAAGTCACATTTTTCTACGAGTTTGGACGGTTAATGCCGTGCCACCCTCCATGATTTATGAATATCTATACCCAGAAAACAATCATGGTTTATTACAGTCACGGAATGGTCACTATTGCACCGAAATGTTCAAATGAAAATACAACTCACCTGTTAACAAAGAGAGGCGTGAAGCATGTAAGAACTATATCGACGCTATCCATGTATACACAGCCAGCGAATAATGCTCTCTCCGAGGATGAAGTATACATGTATATAAGCTGACAATGACACGAATCTATTAAATAACACCAATCCCGGTACAAAGATCACGAATCCCTCCAGTAGGGGGCTTCAACAAGGAAGTGAACTCTTCTCCCAAGCCGCACTCTATAGTGTTTAGTGTTTTAAGTGTCTTAACACCGGAAAACGTTTCACGTGGGATGTTGTAATTTATAAAGGACATTTGACATGATGTTTTAATGAAATAACTCCGTAGACATAATTTCATTACAGAAACAAAACATTAACATGTGTTTAACGGTATTCAATTTATTCAACGTCTTTAACTATGAGTTCTTGTTCAGCAATTAGTCTGAGATGCAATGCGCTGTATATTAACATGGATACCCCACCAGACATTAAACTGACAACGAACCGACCAGTCCTTGTTTGTCCAATGAATGTCAAACAGGGTAGCATCTTGCAGGCTGGTATGTCGTGGCCAGGGGCGATCGAACCTCTGAGCAGATGCTGTATCCACTACACCACGGAAGCTACCGACCTAACAATGACGATTCTTAACATGGGCGTTTGTGGGTATGAACAAACAGACATTTTATTTCAATAATGTAGGCCATTGGCCAATAATACAAACAAAATGCGAATATAAGAAAGTACATACATGCTGAATATAGGGTGAGATTGAAAGTATGATATGATGGTAAGTGGATAATATATATAGAGGATATTTTGATAATGTTGTCAAATAACATGTATATTTCATCGCGTGAGATTGTGCAGCCACGAGTGAACATATCAACTTTGTCAGCCCACGAGATGAAATATACATGTTAAATAACATGTTATTCTATTGAAAATGCACCATTTTCGGCTTCACCCAAACAACAATGTTTATTCTATTTATCATATATACGCATGCCAATAATGGTTGATATGACGTCACACTAGAAACGACGTCATAGTTGAAGACTTCATTCGACCATTGTGGTTTTCGAAGCTGAGGTAAAGGGGAGCTCAAAATGATGGCTCTGGAAATAGACAAGTTTTATCAAATAACTATGACACACATACGCGTGGTATAATCTCTGCATAAAGAACAACCGTAAATGGATGAATAGAAGGAACACCCCATCCCCCTTCCAAAAAACCCACAACAACAAAACATTAGAAAACCCAACAAAACGAATAAAATAAATAAACTCCAACAAAGTAAATGTGAATGAACCCAAACCAAAAGAAACAACAATGAACAAATAAATAAAAATTCATATAAAGAGCTTGGTGGGAGGTAAATTAGAACCCTCTCATTTATCTGGGTATTAAATCTAGCAGCTATGTACTTCTTCCTCTTATCTGTAACCGTCATAGACAAGCCTTATTGATAACAACTTTTAACTTTTTAGTCATGTCTAAACTCACCTGTTAACAAAGAGAGGCGTGAAGCATGTAAGAACTATATCGACGCTATCCATGTATACACAGCCAGCGAATAATGCTCTCTCCGAGGATGAAGTATACATGTATATAAGCTGACAATGACACGAATCTATTAAATAACACCAATCCCGGTACAAAGATCACGAATCCCTCCAGTAGGGGGCTTCAACAAGGAAGTGAACTCTTCTCCCAAGCCGCACTCTATAGTGTTTAGTGTTTTAAGTGTCTTAACACCGGAAAACGTTTCACGTGGGATGTTGTAATTTATAAAGGACATTTGACATGATGTTTTAATGAAATAACTCCGTAGACATAATTTCATTACAGAAACAAAAACATTAACATGTGTTTAACGGTATTCAATTTATTCAACGTCTTTAACTATGAGTTCTTGTTCAGCAATTAGTCTGAGATGCAATGCGCAATATATTAACATGGATACCCCACCAGACATTAAACTGATAACGAACCGACCAGTCCTTGTTTGTCCAATGAATGTCAAACAGGG